ATCCATGCTAAATGAGTTATTAGAAGAGTACCAAGATGTGTTCCCCAATGACTTGCCCAAAGGCCTACCTCCAATTAGAGGCATTGAGCACGCCATTGACTTAATTCCAGGAGCACCTTTGCCCAACAAGGCTGCCTATAGGTGTAATCCGGAAGAGAGTAAGGAACTTGAAAAGCAAGTGAACGAATTACTTGAGAGAGGTTATGTGAGAGAAAGCCTTAGTCCTTGCGCGGTTCCAGCCCTCTTAGTACCAAAGAAAGATGGTACTTGGAGAATGTGTGTTGATAGTCGTTCCATTAACAATATAACGGTCAAATACCGTTTTCCTATGCCTCGATTGCAAGATATGTTAGATGAGTGAGTGGTGCCTTAGTCTTTTCCAAAATAGATTTAAGGAGTGGGTACCATCAAATGAGAATTCGAGAGGGGGATGAGTGGAAGACGGCTTTCAAAACAAAACAAGGGTTGTATGAGTGGTTAGTGATGCCATTTGGGCTTTGCAACGCCCCAAGCTCCTTCATGAGATTGATGAATGAAGTTCTCCGTCCTTTTCTTAATGATTTTGTTGTTGTTTACTTAGATGACATTCTTGTGTATAGTAAAAACAATGATGATCATGTAATTCATTTGAGGAGATTGTTTGAAAAATTGAGGGAGGTGAAGTTGTATGGTAAGCTTGAAAAATGTGTATTCATGACTCCTAGTGTTGTATTCTTAGGATACATTGTAACAGGAGAGGGGGTTCATGTAGATCCGGAGAAGGTAAAAGCAGTCCAGTCTTGGTTGGCTCCAACCAATGTGCACGAAGTTAGAAGTTTTCATGGACTTGCCTCCTTCTATAGGCGGTTCATCAAAAACTTCTCTACCATCATGGCTCCAATCACCGAGTTGACCAAAAAGGGTGAGTTCGTATGGGAAGAAAATGCTCAACGGGCCTTTGAGAAGGTTAAACATATGCTTTGCAACGCTCCTATACTTGTGCTACCAGATTTCAACAAAGTGTTTGAGGTAGAGTGTGATGCAAGTGGGATTGGAATAGGTGCTGTTTTGATTCAAGAGAAGAAGCCCGTGAGTTACTTTAGTGAGAAGTTGAATGGGGCTAAGTTGAACTATTCCACTTATGACCGTGAGTTCTATGCCATAGTTAGAGCACTTGATCATTGGTCTCACTACCTTAGACCAAAACCATTTGTTCTTCATTCCGATCATGAGGCTCTGAAATTCATTCATGGGCAACAAAAACTCAACAAGAGACATGCTAAATGGGTGGAGTTTCTCCAATCATTTACCTTTAGCTCCAAGTACAAGGATGGAAAGAGTAATGTTGTGGCCGATGCATTGTCTCGTCGGAGCTACTTACTTTCCATGGTGGATGCTAAGATCTTGGGTTTTGAACAACTCAAGGAATGTTACATAAATGATCCCGACTTTGCTAGCGAGATAGAGAATCCTACCAAAGAGTTTGTGAGACAAGATGGCTACCTCTTTAAAGGTAACAAGCTATGTGTTCCGAAGAGTGGGGTTAGGGAGTTATTAGTGAGAGAAGTGCATGGTGGAGGTTTAGCCGGTCATTTTGGGATACAAAAGACTCTTGATATTCTAGGTGAACACTTCTATTGGCCTAGAATGATCAAGGATGTTACTCATGTTGTGGAGAGATGTGCTACTTGTCAAAAGGCTAAGGGACACTTCACAAAGGGTCTTTATACTCCGTTGCCAGTTCCGGATGCTCCATGGGAAAGTGTTAGCATGGATTTCATTGTTGGATTGCCTCGCACTCAAAGGGGAAGAGATAGCATCATGGTTGTTGTAGATAGATTCTCTAAAATGGCACACTTTGTAGCTTGTAATAAAACTGATGATGCCGTGAAAGTGGCCGAGCTGTACTTCAAGGAAATTGTCAAACTCCATGGCATTCCTCGAAGTATAGTATCTGATAGGGACTCCAAATTCCTTAGTCACTTTTGGAGAACCCTATGGAAACTTGTGGGTACCAAGTTACTATTTAGTACCTCTCATCATCCCCAAACCGATGGGCAAACCGAGGTCACTAATAGAACTTTGGGTACTTTGTTACGAGGTCTTGTGAGCAAAACGCAAAAAGATTGGGACATGAAATTAGCCCATGCGGAGTTTGCTTACAATAGAGCTCATTCCCTAACTACTTCCCGTTCTCCATTTGAAGTAGTTTATGGAGTGAACCCATTTGTGCCGATTGATCTTGTTCCTATGGTTAAGAGTGACATGGTAGAGAAAGATGCTAAAAAGAGGGTGGAAACCTTTCAAAAAACCTGTGAGCAAGTGAAGAAAAGAATTGAGGAAATGAATAAAAAATACCAAGAGCGAGCCAATAAGAAACGCAAACAGCCTATTTTTCATCCCGGGGACTTGGTTTGGGTGCATTTGAGGAAGGAGAGGTTCCCTAAGCTTCGCAAAAACAAGCTTATGCCTCGTTCTGATGGTCCTTTTAAGGTTCTTGAGAGGGTGAACGATAGTGCTTACAAAATTGAGCTACCAGACAAATTGATGGGTGTTAGTGCGACTTTCAATGTAGGGGATTTATCACCATACTTTGATGATTCAAGTTTGAGGGCAAACTCTTTTGAAGAAGAGGGGAATGATCCAAAGTGGACATCTAATGAACCTGTTGCTTTAGTCTTAGAGACTCTTGGATTTTATCCATTTACAAAGAAGGCTGAAGTTCTATGTTGCATTTCATGGGTAGATTGAAGATTGGGCGCATGGCGCGCTTCACTACAGATTTGGCACGTTTCACTGCTATTTTGGGCGTGTGGATCCTAAGCCATTTACTAGCTATTATTATCTTATATTTTAGTTAATGTTGCTGAAATAATACCAAGAGTTTAGCTCTTTGGCCGGTTGTAATAGGAAGTTATCATTAGGCTTTATTATGCTTTTATTGTTTAGCTTAAATCAAGGAGGAAAACTGCTGGCTTTTGGCTGTTCATGCTTGGACGGTTTTCCTTGACTTTTGGTGTGTTTTTGCTGCTCCTTTCCTCTATAAAAGGGAGAGCAAAACAGAAATAAAAACCAGTTTTGAGTTTGGATTAAAAAACCTTGTGTTTTAGCATTTTAACTTAGAGTTTGTCTCAAGTTCAAGTGTTCCCTTATTGCTTTGAGTAAGTCTTGAGTGATAAGCTTAGGAGAGATTGAGTGAGTCTTATCTCTGGCCTAAAACCCCAAAACTTTGAGTGTGTCCTTGAGTTTTGGCCCTTTTATCTTGTTCCATGATATTTGAGTATTCTAACTATAAGTATTTTTAAATCCATCAACCCATATTCGGGAGGGTGTATTTAGATTTACATCAAAACCGTAAAAAATAAAAAGTAGCTTGAACCGGTGACGTGGACGGTAAAGTGAGAATTTATAAAAAAAGTGACAGCATTTGTGCGATTGGATCTTTTAGTAACATTATTTAGGGAAAGAGTTCAATGTTAGCTTGGAAAAGTTCCTGTTGCTGAATACGTAGTATATGCTATCTCTCCTAAGTTTGCTAGATGTGAATTGTATCTCCTCTTGATACCATAACAAATTAAGGGAAAAGAGATACCTTATTTGTCCCATATACTATTTTAGACGTTTCAAAAAGATCTATCTATATTGAATATATTCCATTTTAAACTTAGTTTTTATTTCCTATTTTATACCCAGTAAATTCTACACCGTAATTAGTGTTAATTAATTGTTGATTGATGTCATGGCTCTAAGTAAGGAAATTTTACCCTTGAATTATGCAATTATAACAAATACTTTCCAAAAATAATCAAAAAATTTAAATAAGGCAAAATTAATTATGAACAGGTACTTTTTTTATTATTTTTTTATTATTTTTTTTTAAGAAAACAGTTTTTGTACTTTAATGTTAGATTCCAAGTATTATTCTTTAATTTTATGTGATTGATTTCATATGAGACTATTATATTGAAACGAAGGAAGTAATAGAATGCTTTTATATTACTTAATTATTATTCATCAATAGGTAGAGTATTTATACAAAACCTACCAACATAAGATAGTAAACAATCTTTCTAAAAGATAAATGTACTACCATAACTATATTCACTAAATAATACATAGTGTCTTAATATAATGATCTTAAATATATTATTCAGATCACTTAATGATATTTTACGGGAATGCTTCCTCTTGCCGTCTTCTATATTGTGGAATAACCTGTGGCGTATAAGGATGTTAGATTTGTGGGTTTGAATTTTTTTTTTAATACAATTGAATGAATTGATGGATCATGGATGTTAAGTAAAATAATACCTTAGAGGTATAAATACGTTGAAAAAATATACTTATATATTTTATTAATACCAATTGATATTTCTAGATACCAAACAAAGTTTGGTGGAGTTGGTGGGGAAATCACTTTGTGATTTTGAAGTCACGAGTTTCAGCCCCACCAACTACAAAATGCTTGGGAGTAAGAACAAATTTATTTATAAGGTTCCCTGCACTCAAATCATTTTTATTATAACAAGTATTACATCATCAAACTTTTTTTTAAAAAAAAAAAAAATGTTTCAACATATGTTCTTTTTTACATCATCAAATATTCATTTCAAGAAATATGTGTAAGTAATATAATAAGTTGTATGCAAATACATACATTTAATAACTATTTATTTAAATAAAATGTTGTTTAAAAATAGTCTCCAATATAAAATAAATTTAATATAATTACAATAATAACACATTTCTATTCTATTTCATGTAATTGCTTCATAAACATGAGAGTGAATCATTCAATCCTAAATGTGCATATGTGTCTTGTTAAATGAACATTATTACTTGTTACATCTATACTAATCTATTAAAAAACGTTTCTAAAAACGTCTCTATGCCACGTAGACGCCCTCACTACGCCACATCACTAACTCTGAGAAGGTTCGAACACCTGAAAATAATATTATACTATAAAAGAATAACAAGCTAGGCTAATAGCCAATTATGCTTTAGCCAATTATTATTTAACAAGCTAGGCTCAATTATTATTATGGGGAAAGCAAGGTTATTATTTAACAAGCTAGGCTAATAGTCAATTATGCTTTAGTGTTGCATACTAAATAATATTATACTATAAAAGAATTGAAAATATGTACGACATACATACTATTAAATGCTTTTAAAAATTAACAGTTGCACAAGTATTAAAAAGTAGTATTCTGGGCGTTGGCTACTCACTAGTTTGATATAATAAAGTGTCTATATAGATATATCCTCTTTGTTGCACCTCTAATCATATGAAATTTGTGTGTTTTCCATGAAAAATATATTCGAAGAGCATAATATATTTGCCGCATTCAACTTCCTTGCTTGATTATCCTGTACAATAAGATATCACGTTTTTCAAAAAAAAAATAACAACCATGAACAAATTCCAAACAAAAGTACATGTAAGAATTCAAAATTAAACATTTACGAAGGAATAACAATAACAAATTCGTAAATGAACACACGGTAAAGTAATAAATTAATAATACATTTTCTACAATGAATGAACAACATGTGATGATTTTTGAACATTTTATGATATGTGAATGAACATGCATTAATATATGTGTAAATATACATTAATATATGTGTGAATAAAGATAGATTTAACTTCCAGTTTCTGCAATGCCTTGGGTGCCTGACATATGTATCAATTGTTTGCTAAATAGATTGATAATTGAATCCGCAATCACCCTAGCACTGGATTTCATATAACCACCTGAAACCAAAGATGTGAACTTAAATAAAGATCATAGTTGTGACTCCTTGTGAGCTGTGTCCCTTAGTGGAAACCTACATTGGGTTCAGGTCGATCCAAGGGAAAATATTGCCCTGTTGAGCCAGGCCAATTGACTCGATGCGATTAATTTCCCGACCACGGATGGTGTTGACTGTTGAGTACGTGTGCGTGTATGTGTGCAAGTGCAAGCTAAAGTGGCAAAGGGGATAGCTTGTAATGGATTGAGTGATAAACTCAATCACGTACACCATCCACGCACAATTTCAGACACATAGAGAGGCAAAAGAAATAAACCTTTTGAAGACTAGACTTTGGTTCAAGTTCATGACATGAAATTTCAGTTATTCCTTCAAATATAGTTACATATACTGGAATAACCTAGGGTTGCCAAGGATATATGCAGATTTAAACAAATTGCAAAAAGACAGAATAGAACCTGATGTAAGCATTAGTATAGGAATGCCTTTCTCACGAGCAAAAGCAAACACCTTCTCATCTCTCTTAATTATACCTTCGGGACTGATCTGGAAACAAGAGATGGAAACCACAAGACTTAATAATTAACAACCTCAAACTAATCCAAATACGCAACAAATGTTTTGTAAAATATAAACGCATTGAACTTGCCCCAATGTACAATGTTTACAACAAATTAAGTACATTGCAGAATTGATTGGAATAACAGTACACAAATCAACTGACATGCCAGGAATACTAGACATACACCAAGAAGAACCAAGCTGCAAATCCTTTACTGTGACTAATGCACAAACTACACGATATGAGGTAGCTTGAGTAATTTGAGAGGGTTGCTGATAGATAATCCATCAACCCTCTCAACTGACAGAAAACAAGAAACCCATACATTAATCTGTGTATACCAATTTAAGATAAGCTAACTGCTAACACCTAGGGTTTGTTTGAGATGTTGACTGTGTACACCAATTTAGAGGGTTAAAGTTAGGAAGGGAAATCTGTGGTAAAGTACAGTGTTTAAAGTCCATCCTTAATACAAATATTAAGAAGCTAGGTTGGATAATTATGGAAAGAGATGTTGACTGTAATTTTAGACATATGAACCTTGCACTGATGATTCAAAATCCTTTTGTGTTTTGCATGTTCCACCCCAGCACACCATGATTCATCAGGTTAGCGTATTAAGTCCAAGTAAATAATGTTGATTGTATCTGTACAATGGTCAGCATTTTTCTAGATTCCAACAGAAGATGTAGGGTTTAGCAAAATCCACTCTAAACAATCTAACAATATATCATCTCCAGTCGTCCAACATTTGCAGATAGACTTTTAGACGAATAATTAGTATAGAATGACCAACAACAACAAATGATCATCAGGTACAGAAAAAGGCAAGGTTCTCACCTTTAGACATCCCAGCGGATCTCTATCTAGAATGTCGGTTCCAGCATTGTATACCACCAACTCAGGATCGAATTTTTGTTTAGCAACCTGTCACAGATTAATGTACAAAACTTTAGGGATCAAGTTAGATCTCCACTACTCTAGCACATCCTTATGAGGATCACTAAATTAGATAGAATGGTAACAAACTTGAAAATTGCAAAATTTAATACATTAACATGTGGCTTATCCTGCAAACATGTGCAACCTTTCAAATGAATCAGCTTAAACAGGCGGGGAAAAAAAAAAAAACAAAACAAAAAAACATAGGGGTAGGCAGTGGATGTTGGCATGGATGAGACGTTACATACCTCAAGTGCCTCATCCAATTTCTTCAAGTAAACATCTGTTATGGTCCCACTCTGTAAAACAAACAAAAATAATCTAAGCTTTGTAATCGTAAGGATAGCTTATAACAAGAAGCTTTCTGCCTATTAAACTGATGGCTTACTGGAATTTCAATATTCTGATTGATGTACCTCCTGGAAACTAAATCCTGAAGCAAAATTCAGCAAAAAATGTCAAATAAATCATAATCAAGTGAACAGAAAAATAGGCTGCTGATTTAATCTTAGCATGAACAAATTTAACCTTCATTTGCATGCCTCAGAGATAATTGCTGAAGCTAGGATTCAACTGGTAGACACTAATGCACATGTGATCTAACCCATTTACAAATAAGATGTCTAAAGACATTGGTGAACCACACAAGAATCTTGATTTCTAATCCACAGAAAGCGCATCAATTTAAAACTACACTTTACTCAAAAAACGAGTTTTGTTCATTATCTCAAGTCCCAACTGCTTTCTCACCCAATTTCACCCTCTTCTCCCCTGATAAGTCTTATCATTTTGGTTAGAATCCCTGAACTTATTTGAACCGAACTTATATAATCACATTAGACCTTATCTGCACGTATATTTAATTGTCAGCTCACTCAGCTGGACTTATTGGACTATATCTGTACTTTTACTGATATGAATTATTAGACCATATCTGAATCTATAAGCCCTCAACGAAATTTATATCTTTGATAGACAAGTTATTTTTTTGCAAAATTGCAAATAGTTCACTGGTCAAGTCTTCAATCTTGAATCTTCCTCATATGGAAAAAATAAAAGTTATAATCCCTTATATTCTCTCTTGAATTCATTGTATACAGGGCTAGCAAGGGACTGCCCAATTTTATCACCAATAATGCCTATATATGACAACCAAGGTTAAAAATATAAGCACGGTGGGATGGAAGACTACACAGTTTATTTTGTTAAAAGAAAACATCAAAGATCTGGTACCAGCAGTGTAACTTACTAATGGATATACTTCAGAATTGTACATATCAAGTATGTATACTCTTTCTGCAAATAAAAGAAAGTACTACATATAAGAAATTATCTAAAAGTAATAAGTTAATAACATGATAGCCAGGAAGACAAGAATCATACTGTCGTTAGAAAAATCTACTTCGTGACCATTTCCTTGATGTGCATCGAGATCAATAATCATAACCCTGACGAATGTTACAAAAGAGATTAAACTCGAAACAAGTCGTTTGAAGGTGTTATCAGCAAAAGTACTCATTTTTATAACGGCCAATACCTTGAAATATTTAACCGAACAAAAGCAAAGTGAATGCACAGAGAGATGTCAGCATAAGCACAAAATCCACCTCCTTCATCTGCAGAACAATGATGGAAACCTCCACCAACATTAATGGCCCATCCTCGTTCCTTTGCAAGCTTTGCAGCCAGAACAGATCCCCCTACCTACAAGCATGATTATAAAAGGCTCAACTTGATGATGGAGTACAAAAAGAAAACTAATCGTACTTATGGTTGTCATGCCTGTTTCCGGAATGGATAAAGAATTTTACGCTGTATGATACAGTTGGGCAACATTGCAACCGGTGGAACCTGTAAATAAAATAATGATGTAAAAAGAAAGTTAAATTATACATAACCTCGGTATTTGAAATAGAATTATACTCATTCAGGGCAATAATCGGAACAGAACCACAAAACCAAAGTATTGTACTCAGCAATCTACTTCCACAACAACATAAATGACATTCATCTGGCCATTGCATACCTACCTTGGGTTATCATAGCAAAACACATGCTGCCTAGCTAAAATAGAGATGAATAGATGATTATGTAACTAGCTTAGAGAAAAAAAGATTAAACTATCAGCAAATCATCTACAAAAGAACAAAAACACCCATCCAGCTAAATCAGCTTCTGTACCAAACCAAGACATTATCATCCAAATTCCCATGATGTATAATTGAATATGAGAATGTTTAACAACAATTCAAAAAGCAGAGTTCTCGCCTTTTGAACAAAAGTAAATTCATATAGTTCTTTCTCCTAAATGTCCTAATATCCAAAATCCAATTACAGTGACTTGTATATATACCACTAGAATTTTAGCAACAGTTGAACTGCTTTGAAGACTATCCAGGTACTTGTCTGGATGTACCTGTAAACACATTAAGTCCCCGATTAGAAATTATGCAAGAGGCAATGGACCAACAGCTGCCTGCTGGATCAGAACATTGCAAAATTGAGCAATGAAAGAGAGAGAGAATTAAAACTTATAGAGAACAGCTAGGAAACAAGTTTCAAACTACCACTAAGAGGTCCTCTTTCGAAGCTTCTTCTGGCTCAATGATACAACTTTTGTCCAGCACACCTTCTGAAGCAAGGAATTGGCATATACGACCCCATTTTGAAGAATCAAACGGATGCCTATTTTTAATCATACAAGAAGTAGTTATACAAATTTTTGTAAATCAGACTTATAAACTTGAACAATTTTCTCGTTATATAGAGATACAAAAAACTTATATGCCCACGATTGATCAGCCAACTCATCGGTCATTAACAATCTCAACATGTATCTTAATGAATTGAGAAACTTCACAGATGTATGCACCCATCAACTAAAAGTGGTCTGGAGCATATATGAGCACATAAGAATCCTAACATGATATCGAGGGCGAATCTACAAAAAATAAGCCAGTGGTCCAAGGACTGTTTGAGGGAAATTTGGCGTATCACTAAATCAAACTTCAGCAAGTGTAATTTATAAATAAACCTCAACCTGTATAATATTGGGGACTAAGAGCACCACGATTTCAAAAGCATACAATTAATTTTAAATTTTTAATTATAAATTTGAAGCACATACTAATATACTATACACTAAAGCAATATCATCACTATAAAAAAATTGAAGCAGCTAAATTTTTTAGTAAAGCACTTACAATTTTTCCATTCCAAGGAAAGAAATATTATAATCAGATGAATAAATCAGCGGAACCTATAAATAAACCCATCAAAATCAAAATTCAGAACTAAAATCAAATTATAATAATATTCAACTCTAAATTAAAAGAAATTGATCATGAAAACTAAAATTTTACACAAATAATATAAGATACCTTGGAAGGAGGAACATCAAAGTAGAGCTTACTAGAGAGAATTCGACTTCGGCGAAGATCTTCAGGTGAAGAAGAAGCTGCCATTTTTGTACAGAAGACAGAAAATTGAGGAGAGAGAAAATGAAAGTTGCAGTGTCTGAGCCACTCTGTTATGGTGGACGACTATATTTTACCGCCGGTAAACGAGAATTTATAAGCAACAGATTTTTTAGTTGACGGTTGAGTTTATACGTGTCGTTCCAAAACTAACTTATTTAATGTAGGTTGCTCTTCAGCACAATATTAGAAATCTGTGCGTCGAAGGTGACAACACTGACAACCTCCTGTAATTAATGCAGTTAGTAATAGATGGCGATAGGGGTGTCAACGAGCCGAGTATTAACTTGTTCAAGCTAGGCTTATTAGAAATACACACGCTCGAGCTGAGCTAATCGCAATTAAGGAAGTTCTACTAGCACATATACGAAGTAAAAAAAAAAAAAAAAAAACAAATTTGTATCGATATATAGATATATGATGAATTAACCCATGAAATCACGAAATTTGACCTATATCAGTGTTTGAATAACAACAGGTTAAATTTCTGAATTTACATAATACCTTGTACTTCGTATAGGATACAACAATATGGTACGGAGTAAATCACACTATTTTCTTTCCATATAATTTACAAAAGGGGTTTCTTTTGCTATAACACGCTATAATCTTTCCGTATTTTGTTCACAGAGGTTCATATTTGACCTCCAGTTCCTGCAGTGCCTTGGGTGCCTGACATATCTATCAATTGTTTCCTGGAGAGATTGATAATCGAATCTGCAATCACTCTAGCACTTGACTTCATATAACCGCCTGAAACAAAAGATGGGATACCAATCAAAATTCATGATTGTGCAGCGATGTACCATAATAGATCTAAATTTGGGTCCAGGGGAACAATGATCCCCTTTTGAGCCAGGCCAACTGACATGTTGTAGTAAAAATCCCAGCCAGAGGTGGTGTTGGTTGTTGGGTGTGAGTGCGTGTGCGTGTGCGTATGGGAAAGGGGAAAACTAGTTGTTAGGATTAGGTCAAGTATACCACCAACGCATAATCAAGCCATATAGAGAAGCAAAAGAAAATCAACTTATGGAATCAACTTTGTTAAAGGTCCTTGATATGAACTTGCAGTTATTCAGCTTAATTCGATAACTATATTTGTGAAACACAGCCAATTTGTTGCAGAGAGCATTGAAATTTTTTACAGAATTGATGGCTCAGTTAAGGTAATGACAGAATAGAACCTGATGTAAGCATTAATATAGGGATGCCCTTCTCACGAGCGAATGTAAACACCTTCTCATCCCTCTCGATTACACCATCAGGGCTAATCTGGAAACAAGAAATAGAATTCCATGAGTAAGCTTTATCAACTTACAACATCAAACAGATCCACTTCAACACTAATAGCACTGCAAAACTAAATGCATTTGCGCCTAAATGCCCCAACACACGAGATTTTTATTAAATCAACAGCCCAGTTCGGCATTTAAACCACCAATAAGTAAACTCAGAAGCCAGAAATAAATACCAAACATAAACCCAAAAAAACCCAAGAGCAGCAGGTCCACAGTGACTAATGTGCAAACTATCCCGTCGAAAGAGACACTTGGTCTTTAATTCTTTTCAAGCCCCCTTCACCTCTCTGTATTTGGATTAATTATCTCTATGATCATTGTGTTTTCAAAAAAGCTGGCTGTTGCTAGTAGGATTCTCTAGATTTTAGTTATTATGGGGGAATAAACTCCAATAGAGAATATGGGTATGACATTATGACTAAAGAAATTTCATTGCTTATATCTTGTGAAGTTGTGAGTAATATGAGTCAAGTTATTGATTTATTCATATAATTAAGCTAGAGTTTAGTTATTGCTTATAATCCATAAACCATTCTACTGTCAGACAACAAGAAACTTACAATTATTCATATAATTAAGCTAGCATTCAGCTAAGACATCTGTGGCAAAGTCAATTACTTGGCCATCCTTGCTATACATATTTAGAATGCTGGATAAACATGGAAACATATGATGACTCTCATTTCTGACAATAAAACCTTAAAGCAATGGATAATTTACTTTTCTATTGAGCACAGTCCACCACAGTATACCCAGTTAGACTTGTAACAACAATCGGAAATTCGAAGCCTTAATTCCGAAGAAGGGAACGGACCCCAATTAGAATTGTAGAGCATTATTATACACAGTATAGTTCTTCTGGCTTGTCATTGCTAGCCCTACATGTAAGTGATGTAACCTTATTACCATTTTAAGTCGAGGTATGCAATATTTACTATACTTGCTAACATTCAGGGTTAGCATTCTTCTATGTTCAAATGAAGCTGAATCCACTCAAAACAGTCTAAGTCAGAATTCATCTCCAGCCATCCAATTTTAGTGACAAGCGCCAAGAACTATAACAACAATGAAAGCGATAAAGGAAAAAGTTACAAATACCAGGTGCAGAAGAGGCAACGTACTAATTAAGTATACAAGTTGAGAACAGGAAATAATTTAAATGTTTTAATCTTACCATTAAACGGCCCAGTGGATCTCCATCCAGGATGTCGGTTCCAGCATTGTATACCACCAACTCAGGATCAAAACTTCGTCTAGCAACCTGTCATAAATGTACAAAGGGATCAGGTTTGTACTCCACAACATAATTGTAAAGATCTCTAACAAAGAGTGAATGGCAAAAGGCTTTTGAAGTTTCTATAAAACATTTCTGTATTTATTACATTGAAATATGTAGATTGTTCTGCAAATATGTACAATCAAAAGAAAAAAGACCAGAAAGGTAGCTCATGCAGTAGATAGTGGCACATCTAAAATGTTGCATACCTCGAGTGCATCATCCACTGTCTTCAAGTATACATCTGTTGTGGTCCCACTCTGTAAAACAAATAAAACAATTGCTTATTCTGTTAACACAGAGACAGCTTAAAATGATCAAGCTTTCTATCTTTTTAACTGATGGCTTACTAAAACTTCAACTTTCTGATTGATAAACCTCCTGGCATTATAATCCTGCAGCATATACCACAGAAACATCATCACAAACCTAAGGAAATGGAGAATAGAAATGACTCAGGCAAGAAACACAATAAGGTTCACTCTATAATTCCTATATTTTCTCGATTCATTCATGTATTTGATTTTAGCATCAACACAATAAACTTTCACTTGCATGCCTCAAAGAGAATTATGTAACCAAGGAATTAGCATGTAGCCACTAAGCATTTGCAAACCAACCTGTTTGCTACAGATATGAAACCACCAAAGAAGCTTGACTGCAAATTTAAAGTCCTTAACAAGCACATGCACATCAATATAAATTTCAAATTATATACACTATGGATATTGTTCATTATCCCTGCTCCGTTCTTCCATATTCACCTCTCTCCCAGGCAAACCATTTTCCATTTCGATTATGTTCTTTTATCTTAACACCCCTGAACTAATCTGACCCAAACTTACATGATCTTAACTCACCTGCACTTATTTCTAATTGCCAATTGAACCATTAGTCCGCTTCTAAGCTTAGTTGACATGGAATTATTTTTTTTTTTTAAAAAGTTGAAAGATACAAGGCTGTTGTGTTCCTTGCAATTTCTATTGACTACACTGCGTACACGTTACCCAAGTACAAGTCACTAACTAATTTTGATGTGCCTTGCATCTTTGTGTGCCAATGGGGCTTGTCACTTGTCAGAGTTGTCACTACAACAATTGTGATGGGTATTTAGTCTAACTTCCATTGTTTCTTAAGGCACATTGAATATCCGTTGAGAAGTGTTCTACAGGCAATGTACTAGTCATTGAGCGTGTTTGCTATCTACTACTTTAATAGACAAGAGTACATCAAACAGTTCACATAAAAAGTCTTGAAGGATCTTCCGCAAAGAAAATAGGGCCATGGTCTCTTTAGGGCTTTATCATTAGTTTATTACTTAATTCAATAAAGAGTCTTCCTTTTACCCCCTTCTATAAGCAACAATGCCCAAGTATGATGATCAAAGTTCAATTTCCAAACAAAGTTGAACAGAACTCAAAAGATTCAACTTCATAATTCTAACAAGCGAAAAAATCCAAAAGTTCTGGTAGCAGCAGGGTAACTTACACCAGGATATATCTCAGAATTGTACACATCAAGTATATATACTCTTTCTGCAGAGAAAGAAAATATAAGGATTTGCATTAAATTCTGAGCAATCAAACAATCAAGGAAGACAAGAGATCGTACTATCTTTAGCAAAATCTATTTCATGACCATTCCCTTGATGTGCATCAAGATCAATTATCATAACCCTGCCAATTCCAAACCACCAGAAATTATAATATAAAAATCATGAAAAAATAAATTCAGATCAAGATGTTTGAAAACCCTATCACCAATACCTTGATACTTTTAACTGAACAAAAGCAAAGTGAATGCAGATGGAGATGTCAGCATAAGCACAAAAACCACCTCCCTTATCTGCAGAACAATGATGGAAACCTCCACCAACATTAATGGCCCACCCTCGCTCTTTTGCAAGCTTTGCAGCCAGAACAGATCCCCCTACCTACAACCATGATTATTAAATAATTAAACTTGATGATGGAGTATAAGAAAGAAAATTAGTTGTAACATGATTATATGCCTGTTTCCGAAATGGATATAGAGCTTTCCGCTGTACGATACAGTTGGGCAACATTGCAACTGGTGGAACCTGTAAATAAAATTATAGTGAAGAGAGAGTTAGGCCATACATAGGTAACATAACTTCAGCTATCTACCTTACTTGCTTATTCTTAGAAACATGCACATTACAATAAATTCCTATGCCTTAAGATAAAAGGATAGTTTGAGTAACTTGTGTAGAGAAATAAGGAGTAAGCTTTCAGGAAGTCAGCAACAAATGAACAAGAAATCCTTCCAGATCCCATAAATAGGCTTCAATAGAATACCAAGCAAAAAAAAAAAAAAAAAAAAAAAAAAAAAAAAAAAAAAACAGCTTTCCATCAATTACCTAAGGGCAATGGATTTGTCAAAGAAAGGCAAAGGACATTTAAAAGCAATTGATAAAACAAGGGTCTCGGAACTAGGAAACAACCTACTCCGTTATTAATATGGCTCTTTTTCCTAAAACCCAAATAATGTGACTCATATATTGATATACCTCCATAATTTTAGCAACAGTCAAGCTGTTTTGAAGACTATCCAGATATTTCTCTGAATGCACCTGCAAACACACAAAGTCCCCAATAAAAAATAAAAATAAAAAAATAAGCAAGACGCAATGAACCAACAACTGCTAGATATATCAAGAAGAGAAGGAAACTCCAATTCTTGATATTGACATGAAAATCAAGAGTCGAGAATGGAAGTTTCATCTCTTGGTAGGCTGATATTCAACCAGTATAAGAAGAAATAAAATCCCCATTTTTGATATCTTAATTGCAGGCGATGAGAGAAAGATAATAAAAATTATACACAACAACTGGGAAATGAGTGCAACTACCACTAACAGGTCCTCTTTAGAAGCTTCTTCAGGCTCAGTGATACATTTTTTGTCCAGTACACCTTCTGAAACAAGGAACTGGCATATGCGTCCCCATTTTGAAGAATCAAACGGATGCCTATTGTTTATCAAATGATAAGTAATTACAGAGATGTGCATCAGACTTATAAGGCATCGACGTCAACAATTGATCAGACAATCTAGACAGCTTCAACATTTGTCATCATGGATTTATGCATCCATCATTTTTCTGGACCTCTGGATAATCTAGCACTAGTATTAATAATTGCAGCTAAGTAAACCCTTTACATTATTTTCATAATACAACTTTAATTTTTTTACTATTGTTATTTGACAATATTTTCTACTCAAATTCAGTTCACAATGGAGTAAAACAGATATGTAAATTATCGTCATTATCACCATTTATTACCGCCTACCAAACCGGCTGTAACTAAATAGAATAGATGAGAATTAATTTTTTTAACGAACTCGAAATAATAACAAAATCAGCCAGCAATCATTCTATCACTGTTTAAATACTAAAACACACAACAGAAAACACATTCTAAACTCAAACCAAAATAATCAAATAATAACATTATAATATGCTTATCAACTTATACTCTTATTGTAATTCATAATATTTTCAAAAGAAAAAGCACTTACAATTTTTCAATTCCAAAGAAAGCAATATTATAAACCGATGAATAAATCACTGGCACCTAAAAAATCCAAATCAAAAAATTTTACAAAACAATGTCATCAAAATCAAAATTCACATTCAAATTCGGAAGAAAGTTAACATGAAAAATGAAATTAAAATTCAAAAGTAATTCAAATTACCTTAGAAGGAGGAACATCGAAGTAGAGCTTACTAGAAAGAATTCGAGTTCGGCGAATATTTTCAGGTGAAGAAGAAGTCGCCATTTTTGTACGGAAGAGAGAGAAAATTGAGGAGATATGAAGTGGAAGTTGTATTGTCTGAGCCACTCTGTAATGGTGAACGACTTACTTCAACCGCCGGCAAACGGAGAATTTATCAGCGTATATTTTTATTTTATTATTTACATTTGACGGTTGAGATTACACGTGTATATTTCCTGAACTTTTAAGCAAGAGATTGGGCCAAGGATACTATGTTTTGGGCCGTTTAATTTTGGGCTTTTCTTTGAAAAATACTGATGAGGAGGTGGTAGAGAGATGTGGAAACTAGAAGTCTTAGTATTGGATGGTAATGATATTTTTTTTTTTTGAAACAACGATGGTAATGATTTTGATTAATTAATAACCTTTGTGCTAGTCAATTATAAAGTTATAATGGTATTGAAAATTTGTTGTATAAATAATTGAAGAACACTTGATACTTTGAGGATACATGGGAATAATGCTAAATAACTTGGAGAATGTTTTGTTCCAATGTTAATGATTAATGAACATATGTTTTTCCTATATATATTAGGGAATATAGAGATAATATTAATTTATAGAGCGGAAGGTATTATGAGCTAAATTTTTTTCAGGTAATGTGAGCCAATTACCATAAAAGGTAATGATGTAAACATAAAGTAATTTTACGTTTCTTATACCTCCTTTCAAGACTTTAATCAACTTATCATCCATATTCCACATGTTTGAGAGTAATGAACATTTTTTTTTAAGCAAAATAATCAATATGTGCGCTATTATTACAAAAATTAATGGACATGTAGGTTGTTTGGATGAGAATACATCTTAGGTGGATATTCAAATTAATCAAATATGAAGTAATCATGTTAATTTATTAGTTTATGTGTACTCTCTGTTTTTGTTTTGTTTTGTTTATTTTTATTCTATTCAATTATATTCCGTAATTGACTTTAATATTTAGAGGATAAATGAGTGGGTGTAAGAGTAAAGGTGAATATAAAGCTTGAATACATAAATAGCGAGCTCATAATAGAAGTGAACCTCATCCTAGGAAATTGATTTTACACCAAAACACTAGTCAATCCTTGCAATTATTCATTGCAGTGAAGTATAAGTTTGAGATAAGAATATTCATTGCACTAGTCAAACTTATAATTCATTATTATTGCAACGATTATTGGAAAGGATTAACTAGTACTCCGTATAAGTTTGTAGAAATATTCATTGCAATGAATGATTTCAATGAAGGAATCCGAGTCATTAAGTAGGTAAAGGTCACGTTAGTGATGTCAATGATTTGGGATTCTTTTTAAAATCTTCGTATTTCTTAATTCTATAACAATGAATGAGCAAAAATGATGGTCGATGGAGCGTGTTACAGTTTTTGATAATTTAATAATCTAATTAGAAGATTGATAAAATTCATTCATAATGTCTAGAACACTTTGATTTTAATCTAAAATTTGATCATTAATATTTTTAATTATATACTACCCTCACTAACTTTTAGTTGCAACTTAACTCCCTCAAAAGAAAGGGTTCCCTCGCTCGAAAAAAAGTGCTCTCTCTATCATCGGATAGGGCTCTACCGGATTCCGGTGATTTCTTGACTAATCTCCCGCTCTCTTTCTCGCTGTTTCAATGGATGATGATATTGCATCCCTGTGCTCAAACCTTCGAATTTCAGAAGAGGAGAATACTGCAATTGACTTTGGTGACATAAACCCTAGCAATGAGGAGAAAAATCTATCTCTTATGCTTATTGGTAAACTCCTAACACGAAGATCTTACAATGTTGATGCCTTTAAGAATACTATGACGAATTACTGGGCTCCTTCGAATGGTGTGGCTATTAGGGTTCTTGGCCCTAATTTATACGCTTTTCAATTTTTCCATTGGAAGGACTTGGAGAAGGTTCTAAAAGGGAGACTGTGGTGCTTTGACAACATGCTCGTAGTGCTGAAAGAAATCGATGGAAACGAACAGCCGGATGAGGTAATTCTTAATCAAAGTCCTTTTTGGGTTCGAATAAAAAACCTTCCTTTCAATTGTAGAACTGATGCTCATGTGAGGAAACTTGTGGAGGGGATGGGTGAAATTCTTGAATTGGAGGAGGATTCTTTGGGGGTTGGTCGCTTTCGTAGAGTGAAAATAATGCTAGATGTCACTCGGCCATTGAGGCGATTCCAGAAAATTAATGATCGAAGGGTACTGACCTTCGAGTTGATTTTGCTTATGAACGTCTGCCCTTCTTTTGCTTTGCTTGTGGTATAATGGGTCACTCTGAACGTGACTGCCTTGTGGTGTCGGAGGAGGACAAACAAGAGAAGTTGGGGTGGAGTACGAATTTAAAAGCTACCCCTAGGAAGGGTATCTCGAAGGAGAAGGAGGAAATTGGCTCACTGCTGGCTGCCAAGCGTCTGGTTTTTGTCACTAAGACCTCTGATGTTTCTGCCCAAGAGACTCGGGTGAGTAAAGAGTTGCCTGCCATCACGATGCAGCCCCAAACTAACTCACCTGTGATCTTGGACAATGCTGCTATAGACGATACCCCTCCTACTTCTTCAGTGTTGAATTTTGACAAAAAGTACGCTCTAAATAAAGAATAGGACGCCCCTGTAACTCTGAATTATGGGAATGTTGATATCTCTTTAAGTCTCCTGTTAAGCCTTTTAATGTGGGCTGCGTGACAATTGATGAAAATCAAAGTGGGAGGAAAAAGGGTCGTGTCTTCTCTGGGGGGAAGGTCAGCTCTTGCTCTCAAACATCACGAAAGTGCCCTCTTGAAAAGGATGAGATCCTAGAAGAGCTTCCTGGTGGTTCTGGTAAACGTGGCAAATTAGATGTGGGTGTTGCGATGGAGGAACATACTAACATGGAGACTGATCTAGCGGCGGAGGTTGGTGCTGACCAACCCCGCCTCTCTCAATGAATGTCATTTGTTGGAACTGCCGGGGTTTGGGTAATCCCTCGTCAGTTCGACAGCTTCGCAGATGGAGTAACAAATTTACCCCCGGTATGATTTTTGTATCGGAGACGATGATAAATAATTTAGAGGTGGAGAAGCTTAAGGATCGTTTGGGCTTCGAGCATGCTTTTGGTGTTGCTAGCATAGGGAAGGCGGGGGGTATGTGTTTATATTGGAGGAGGGAGGTGAATTTTGCTTTGATTTCCTTTTCTCAAAACCACATTTGTGGTGATGTTACAAATTCGGAGGGATCTTGGAGATTTGTTGGGGTTTATGGCTGGCCTAAGGAGGAGGAAAAACACCAAACCTGGAGCTTACTTAGGCGCTTATATACTGAGTCTCCGCTTCCTATTCTTTTTGGTGGTGATTTTAACGAGATTTTATCTTATGGAGAGATTGAGGGTGGAGCGGATAGAAATAGGAGGGAGATAGAAAATTTTCGTGGCATGGTTGATGATTGTGAGCTCCGGGATTTGGGTTATGTTGGGAGTTGGTATACGTGGGAAAGGGGTAATTCAATGGCTACTAGAGTTAGGGAGCGCCTTGATCGCTTCTTAGCTTCGAGACAATGGTTGAATCGGTTTCGAAAGGCTGAAGTGGAGCACCTTGTTCGTTACAAGTCAGATCATACAGCCATATTACTCAAGCAGGAAGTGGGTAGAAGAAAGAAAAAGAAGAAATCAAAGCCTTTCCGTTTCGAAACGGGCTGGCTCCTTGATGAATCGTGCGAGGAAGCTGTAAGGGATGCATGGTTTAATTCGGCAGGGGGTGCAACCATTTAGCGTATAGCTGCTGTAGCTCGTGGGCTCACTTCTTGGAGTGAAGTCAAGTTCCACAAACTTGACAAATAAATAAATGATGTTGAATTTTCCTTGCGCATGGCTCAACTTCCGAGGCCCACTGATGATAGTATCCGTGAATGTGCAACTCTTGAAAAGAAATTGGATGACTTGAATGATAAATTGGAGGCTTATTGGTACATTCGCAGTAGAGTTTCGGAGGTTAGAGATGGAGACAAAAACACCAAGTACTTCCACCATAAAGCTTCTCAAAGAAAAAAGAAAATTTTTATAAAAGGCATTTTTGATGAGCATGGTGTCTGGTCTTCTGATGAAGAAAAAATTGAAGAAATAATCTCTAAACACTTTGAGGGATTATTTTCCTCTTCTTCCCCTTCCGATATTGATATTCAAGAGGCCCTCAACAACATCCAGCCGTGCATCTCCCCGGCCATCAATTCAGAGCTCACTAGGCCTTTTTCAAAGAAGGAAATTCTAGCAGCGTTGAAGCAAATGAGCCCGTGCAAAGCTCCTGGTCCCGATGGTATGCATGCGGTGTTCTATCAACGATTCTGGCATATCATTGGTAATGAAGTGACTTCCTTTGTTAGTATCATTTTACATGGTTTTTCCTCTCCAAAATCTGTGAATAATACTAATATTGTCCTGATTCCGAAAGTTGAGTCCCCTACTATTACTGCTGAATTTCGCCCTATTGCCCTCTGTAATGTGCTTTATAAACTGGTGTCTAAGTGCATTGTGATGAGACTAAAAAATATTCTTCCTGATATTATTTCTGAAAATCGGAGTGCTTTTGTTCCGGGGCGCATTATTACTGATAATGCTCTTATTGCGCTAGAATTTTTTCACACTATGAAGAATAGGAGTAAGAGTAAGAAGGGAACAATAGCTATGAAACTTGACATGAGCAAGGCATACGACAGAGTAGAATGGGGTTTTCTGAAAAAGCTTCTCCTGACAATGGGATTCGATGGAAGATGGATCAATTTGGTGATGGAATGTGTGACTTCTGTATCATACTCTTTCGTGATAAACGGAGGAGTGTGTGGGTCAATCTTCCCTACTAGGGGCCTTCGACAAGAGGACCCTCTCTCCCCTTATTTGTTTATTCTGGTAACTGATGTTTTCTCTAGTATGTTGCAAAATAAAGTTCGAGAGGGTAGCCTTCATGGGGCTAAAGCTAGTCGTAATGGGCCAGAGGTCTCTCACCTTTTATTTGCCGATGATAGTCTCCTCTTTGCTAGAGCCAACCGACAGGAATGCAAAATGGTAGTTGATATACTCAACCAGTATGAAATTGCATCCGGACAGAAAATTAATTATGAGAAGTCGGAAGTTTCTTTCAGTAAAGGTGTTCCAGTTGAGCGAAGAGAAGGTTTGTTGGAGATCTTACATATGCGACAGGTTGATAGACATGAGAAATATCTCGGCATCCCGACCATCATTGGCCATTCGAAAAAAGCAATTTTTGAGGCGGTTTTGGATAGAATTTGGAAGAAAGTCCAAGGTTGGAAGGAGAAGCTCCTATCGAGGGCGGGCAAAGAAATTCTCTTGAAAGCGGTCATACAAGCGATCCCGACTTATTTAATGGGTGTGTACAAATTCCCTGTTTCGGTTATTCAACGAATTCACTTGGCTATGGCTCGATTTTGGTGGGGTTCGAAAGATGGGAGTAGGAAAATACATTGGAAGAATTGGGACTCTATGTGCACCCTCAAGTGTCTTGGTGGTATGGGATTCCACGATTTGAGTGTTTTCAATGATGCTCTTTTAGGAAGGCAAGCTTGGAGACTCGTGAAGGCTCCCTCATCTCTCTTAGGGCGTGTCTTTAAAGCAAAATACTACCCTCATTCTGATTTTCTAGAGTCTTATCTTGGCTTGGCAGGGAGCTACTCTTGGCGTAGTATCTGGGCTTCAAAAGCTATCATCAAGGAAGGGGTCTTGTGGAAAGTGGGTAATGGCAATAGCATTAATGTGTGGTCTGACCCGTGGGTAGCTGATGCGGAAGGACGCTTCATTTTGAGTGAAGAATCCGTGGCTATCTCTAATGTCAGCGACCTGATTGACCAGGAAAATAGGGAGTGGAGGTTCGATGTCCTTGATGAGCATTTTATTGAGAGAGATAAGCATTGTATTATGACCATTCCTCTCCCTGAACGTGAACTTGAGGATGAAATTACCTGGGCTTATTCAAAAACTGGTGAGTATTCGGTAAAATCTGCTTACCTACTCAGGAAGGGGTGTGACTTGACTCTTTTTTTTACCAAGCGTGGATTGAAATTTGGAAGGCAAATGTGAGTCCTAAAGTGCGGCATTTTTTCTGGAGGCGATGCTCAAACACTCTCCCTGTGAAAAATTTGTTATACTTCCGTCATTTAACCACTGATGCTCGTTGCCCCTGGTGTACTCATGAGAATGAATCAGTCAGCCACGCTTTTGTGGACTGCTGTCGTGTGCAGAGCCTGTGGGAAGAATGCTCGTGTTCTGAAATGGCGAATTGGGGTGAGTTTGACAGCATGTGTGATCTTGTTATTAGCTGGAAGAATTTGGATCCCAAGATTATCCAACGAGGTATGTTTTTAGCTTGGTGTATATGGAGTGATAGGAATCTTAAAGTATTCCAAAACAAAGTCACGCCGAATGCTGTGACCATTGGAAGAGTTGCGAGGCTTGTTGAGGAGCAGGGGAGCTATACTACTCGAATTTATGGGGCTGCTGGTCTTCGACCCCCTCCCAGCCCAAATAAATGGTGTGCCCCCCTGCTAGCATTGTCAAAATAAATGCTGATGCGTGCCTTGCAGAGGAAGGATGGGTTGGCCTCGGGGTAGTTGCTCGTAACCATGAGGGCAAGTCTTAGTGGCTGCTACGAGACGTTGTCGCGCATTCTGGTCTCCTGAGGTTGCAGAGGCAAAGGCCTTGCTCTTTGCGCTGAAGATTGGGAAAAGGTATGGTTACTCTGAGATTTTGCTGGAGTCGGATTGTAAACTGGTCATTGATAAGCTCTCAAAGGACTCGTTGTCAATGGATGCTGATGGGGTTCTTGGGGATATTTTTGCTCTTTGTTCGAATTTCATGTCTGTCGATTGGTCCCACGTGAAACGTGATGGTAATACCGTTGTTCATAATCTAGATAAACTAGTTCCATTTGGCTTTGAACAAACTTGGGAAAATCACTGTCCCCAAGTTGTTACTCCGTATGTACTTATGGACACTTTGTCCCTTAATTAATTGATGAAGTTTGCGTGTTTTCAAAAAAAAAAAAAAAAAAAAAAAACTTTTAGTTGCAACAAAGGAATTTTTTAATCTCACATATAATACCCCTTTGTTGCTGGAATTTATTATATACACCAGGGTGCACCGTACACACCTGTAAGCATTTTGTTCACATTTGATGATTGTTTTTCATTTAATTATCTAATGAATAGCAAAAACTAACCATGAGTTAGTAGAGTGTACGGTACACCCTGGAGTATATAACAATCTCTCCTTTGGTGCAACTAAATGCTAAAAGAGGTAGTATTTTCATATAGGTATATCTATAATTATTTATTAAAAATAATTATATAGCAAAAAAAATTTGGTATTCCACATATTTTATTGTTAATAAAAATTAGTGAGGTGAGGCCTAAGAAACTCGAAAACCCACACACACCACCACCGAACTTCAAGGGTACTCGTCGTACGTCGTGGTGAGGCCAAAGAAACTCGAAAACTCGAAAAATTGGATTGTCTCGATGCTTCAAGGGTACTGGTTGTCATCGTGCTTCAAGGGTACTAGTCGTCGTCGTGCTTCAAGGGTACGCACCACCACCGAACTTCAAGGGTACTTCAAGGCCTGAGAAAGGAAATAAATATATGAGAGAGAAAGAGAAGGAGACAGAGAACGGAGATGAGAGAAGAAAGAGAAAAAAGATGGAGATGGAGGAGAGGGCGAGATAATGGAGGGGTGAGAGTAGATAGATGTGAAAACTGAGGGGAAGAGGAGAGAAAGTGTGAGAAATGAAGGGAAGGAGGAGAGAAAGATTATTTAGGGTTTTTTTTTAACAAATGGCAAGCGGTTCAATGTTAAAACCGCTTGCCATTTACAATTTCGCAAGCAGTTCACCCAAAACCGCTTGTCATTTACTTGTTTCAGTTTTTTTTAAAGGGGTTTTTGGAAGTGAAATTCAATAACCGCTTGCCATTTGGGGCTGCCCATTTACTTTATTCTACTATTGGTACCCACACGAACCACCTGACAATCTACTGTTGATCGAGGTCGATCCACCGAAGAACTCATTTTCCTGAACCAAGGATGAAATAAAGACATGTGAAATGGTTGACCCGAAGCCTTGGCATTTGAATACAAAGTGGAAAATTGAAACCTAGAATCACAAGTTTTTCCCACAAACTCAAGTTTCATCCCTCCCATATGACTATCAACATATGCAAACTAGAAAGGGCAGTCATGCACTCCAAACTGTAATGCGCCACTGGAGCACCTAAGGACTGTTGCAAAATGGGAACCGGCTGAGACTCTATTATGGGCACCTTCTACAGCTCCTCATCACATGAAATCTGAAGTGAAGTAAAGGTAGAGGACATTGCTACACTGGACTTCACATTGTGGGAGACCTCAGTCGTATTAGAGGGGATAACCTTCTCCGAAAATGAGTGAAAAACCAAATAACACGTGGACTATGAAAGGGGAGTTGACAGGAACTCTGAAGTGGACACCGCGTGCTGCTCCAATCCACCTGAAAACTTAGCTGATGTAGCAGTAGAGGTCTCTAGCTGCTTCCCTATAAGTTACATCTTGGGGGACCTCTGTCTGGATAGAAGTTTGATTCGGGAAAACCCGAATAGACATTAACGACATGGACTGAGAATGGTAGAATTGAATGGCATTGCCTTGCTTAACCTGCTGCAAATTTAAGGAGGAAAGCCGAAGGGATGAACTCGAACCATTTCGAGAAACAAACTCAAGCATACGAGAGACTTTAGCTTCCCGATGAAAAGGTGGTAAAGACTTGCAACTCCTGTCAATACCAACTGAATCTAATTGGAAATCACATTCCATATTAGCACTCTTTGTAATCGTTGTCATCACCAACTAATATCAACACTCTCTGGTGGAAGATTACAATCTCTATCACCACCGGGCGAACTAGGCACTAATATTGGCTTCGATACAACAGCTGAACCTAACACGCTACACTGAAGATCAACAACCGGAACAGCCACATCCGCAACACAATAACCCCCTATGACTTGACAACTAACAACACAATCGTCATTGGGGACTTGGACAGTCGACTCAACTTAGGTAACAGACTGGACCATCATACCCTTTTGCTTTTGATCGACCAAAGACACATCTAGTAGCAAACCCTCGACACAATGTAATTTTGTTAACACCTCTAAATTATTAGGATCACTTTTAGTAGCGTTAACCAGATCCTTTCTAGCGGGTCGAAGCTTGCCTAATTCTTGATACGCAGAGGCTCTCATATAAAGAGCCTTAATATGACAGAAATCAAACTCTAATACGAAGGAACAAAGCTTAACAACAACAGAATAATCAAGAAGCTTCAAAGCACAAGCTGCAAGATTGAGATGCAAAGCAAAAGCCAAAGATCAAAACAAAGAAAAGGCTTCCGTAGAACAAGACATAGTAAAACACAACAATTTACTAGCCAACTCATACTTAGAAAAACTGAAGAAGTTTGGGGTATAACTTAGAAAAACTCAAAAAAATTAACATTTTAACAACATATTTCGGGTTTGTTTGGCATTGTTTTTTTGTTTTCAGTTTTCAGTTTTTTTTTAAAAACCAAAAACAGGAAACAAGAAAAATGTGTTTTTATTTTTCTGTTATTAGTTTTCAAAATTATCATGATTTTGATAAGTTTGACTAAATTTTTATTCATTATATGACATATATTATATAATTTTGAAAAACAAAAAACTAAAAAACTAAAAACTATAGTGATGCCAAACGAACCTTTGATGGATTACTTTATTAAGTGCTCCTTCAAAGTTCCCCTTAGCCGTTGCGCCCCTTCTCGCCCGTCACCACACTTCCGCAGTTCTGCTTATCCAAAATTAGACTATTTTATTTAGTCAATGTAATAATCATCATTTGAAGTTTTAACGTTTCTTCTTTCTTCCCTCCCTCTTCTTCAACAAACAACAAACTACATTAATGTATAGGAGAGAGAAAATCTCATCAAAACATCAAACAAGAAGAAAATCTTCTTCCTAAATATTCTCTCTCTTCAAATCTCATGAATTTCTCCATTTTACAATGCCTCTTTCCAACAATAATTCATCAGTAAATTGCTGTTTTCTACCTTCAATTATTGTTATTATTCTGGAAAAATCTGGAAAATACAGCTAATAAGTTTTGTTGCGGTTTCTTTGCAGTATTCAAGCTCGTTGACAATTGGAGAGAGATTATGCGCTGTTTTACTGCCAATTATCGCAATCATTGAGACGCTTGCTTTCGCTGTTTCTCATTGCTTCGAATTGGATGATTTGGATAATCAAAAGAAGAAGAAATTTAAGCAAAATCACACCGATTTTGCTCGCCTTGCTCGTGAATCTCTTTGTATGTTTTCGGAATTCTATGAATTTTCGTTAATTTAATTTTTGATTGACCTAGTTTTCGAATTTGATTTTGAGTTTAAATCACTTAAATGCAGTTACGGTGAATGAAATTGAGGCATTATTCGAGTTATTCAAAAAATTGAGTAGTACAATCATTGATGATGGCTTAATTCATAAGGTATTTTATTCTTAATTACACTATGGAAACACTATTTATTAATTTATTACTCAATTTAGTACCGTAAATGATATTAATTAAATATATTTATTGTCAACATATCTGGCGTTTGTTGTTCTTGCGTGTTTCTTTTGGATCTGGAAAATTGCTTTGGATTGTTCATGTGCATTTCATTGTACAAGTGGCTCACATGTAATCAGGTGGCTGAGTGGCTGACATGTTTGACTTCAGCTGAAAAAGTAGTTTGGTTTGTATAATTTTGCAATTTGGGCATTTGTGACCTTTTGAAGTTAGACTGCACTAAGGGTCTGCTCAACACTTACTCTGCTGGCTTAGCGTGCCTAGAAGCTTAAAAGAACAGGGCCTAAATGTAGGATGTGAATTGTGCTTGAAATACTATATTATCCAAAGTATCATCTTATCATACTTCGTATTAGTCATGAACTTATCTTATTTGAACTTAGCCCTTGCAATATTGTATCCGAACTTATTTATTCTTATTTTGTACTATCTTATCATATCTTAAGTATACTATCTTATCTTATTAAACCATATTGAACCTTATAAGAAGTGTTAGTAAACCTTATTAGAACTTATTAACCTTTATCTTATCTGTTAGCCCTTATATTAGCTTTTGTGGTTTATAGATACTATAAAACATATTCATGTGGGATCTTGTTTGAATCATTTTAATTATATTTTATTAATATCCACTTTCTATAATTTTACAATGTTAATAATTAGAGATATTAATCAATTTAAAGTGTCAACTAAAAAAAAACTAAACTGAGGAAGTACTATTTTAGCTTATTAGAAAATGTTATATCTTATTTTATCTAAATTAATTAGACCTAAAATAAGTTGTGGAGAAGCATCGTGGAAAGTGAATCCTTTTTTTGACTTTTTGGGTAGAAAAGAGAAAATTGTGCATGAGACATTGTTATTATTACGACTTATGTAGGGCCTTAGATGAACTGAAGTGATTGGAGCTCAACTGAAATACTGAAGTGAAGTGAGTTTAAATGAATATTTTATGAGAGAAGGAAATTAGGAGCTGAATTGAACTGAAACGAAATTAAGCTGAAGTGAACAGGCTCGTAGTATGATGTGGACTATGTGGTAGTAGGAATGAACATAACAGGATATTCTATTAAACTTCCTGGAATCAAAACTTGTTGCAACAAACTCTTCAAAATGAGAATCAAAACTGGAATAGGAACTTGTTGAACCTGAAAGATTGGAGCCGGAGCCGGAACCTACGAATTTTCTATTTCGTACTTTTTTTGCAAATTTTCTTAAGAAAATTGGAGGGTCAGAAATTTACAATTCTTACAATTTGCAAATAATACAACAAACCAAAAATAGTTTACAAAATTTAATACATATAGTTATAACAATTATTTTTATTTATATTTAGTTAAAATTAGGCTTAAGTTGATGTATGATTTGGGCTCAAGTAATTACTTTTATTAGGTTATAGGGTAGGTTCCGGTTCTAAAAAATTAAGAATCTGTTGCAACAGTTTTATTACCCGGAACCAGAACATGTGGTTCCTAAGTCTTAACAGGTTTCGGTTCTTATTCAGGGCACCTTGAATTTTTGCTCACCCCTATGTAGTAGGGTAGGGACTTAGGAGGGACAAAAGTGTGATTTTTTTTTTGTTTTTATTATAAATGGAATAAAGCAAAAGTAGGAAGATGATTAAAAAAAAAAGAACATATATGAACGGAAAGTAAATAAAAAAAAAAAAAGAGAAAAAAAGAACGGAGGGAGTAAAATGTTCAGGAAAAGAATCTGCCTGTTGTTTTAGTAGAATAGTTTCCTAAAGGGTGTACTCACACCTAAAAACAATTTGAGGAAAATACTAAACGAATACAAGAAAATATTTAAACTGTCATTATCCCATTGCTTAGGTAAAGATGTTCGTTGGCTGCTTAGATACATCTAGGAGTGTTGTTGCTAGTTTGAATTTCATCCTGCACAAAATGGTAGTTAACCTCTATATCTATTATGTTCATGAAAGATTGGATTCTGTTATATGTTTAGGATAGGGATGCCAGCTTGACTAATAAGTATATTATCATAGGAGATGATTATGCTACTCTCAAGGCCAACAATAATCCTTGATAAAGGTTTACAGGTACTATGTGGTGGCTCTAATGCCATAAAATGTTTTGGATAAAGATTTTACCACCTATGTCATGTCCAAGGCAATTTTTTGGGTGTAAAGATTGCCACAAAAGAAGTGATGTAAATGACTAAATGGGATTCGATCCAAGCCTTGGGTACCTCCTCTCAAAATATAAACCAACTTAAAAAGTTGGCATCCATCCACAGGTCCAAAAAATATTAGTTATATGTTATATCCCACCATATTTTTTTTTTTTTAAAAAGGTACAACGACCAGTTTAAGGAAAGTCCTAGATGTAAACAATAGTATATGTAAGAAAACATACTCGTAACAAGATGTTGCTCGAGACTAGGCAGCTGTTTGTAATTTATTTGCCTAAATATTGGGAACAATTAATTTCTGTTGCCATCAAAGTGGCTCAAGCTGACCAAAAGACTCGCTACCACGCTGGCTAAGAACTCCATACCTGATGCATCCAACAAGGTAACAGTCCATGCCAGATGGAAAACTTCCTTGCAAAAGAATAGAGCCCTCAATTTCTTTGCCAAATTACGTGGTCATATTCACTCCCTTCATTTACTACAAATTGCTTGCTTTTCATATATATGGGTTTCTAGATTGCATTGGATATAACTCATATAAGTTCAGCTTTGTATGTGTGTACACACACTCAATATTTTAATAGGTCATAGCATTTGATAATCAATTTGAGCCATCTGTTAGCCGGGGAAGGGGGGGGGGTTGGTTGGTTAAAATGCTAAGTAGTTGGATAAAGAGGTGGAAGATATGGGTCTATTGGATATGAGAAAATTGATGGAGGTTTGGAGGGATTGAGTACAGCAGAGACAATCAGTAAATAAGTGTCTGGGCTGTGGAGGGTGTGGAAGTTGCAAAGCTTGGTCTATGTACAATAAAGATGATCCAAAGGTGCTTTCTCCTTTCTCTTTTTCACAATCATCCTATCTAGTGGGGTGCATAGGAAGCATCTAGGTCAGTGTTTCTATCTCTCTCCTCACCATTTTGCCTCTAGTTGTCTATACTAATAAATATTTAGCATCAATTGTGATATTGAAGTATGGGTAAAGTATAATAGTCCTGAATACTCTGTTAGTCTATTGAGCTAGGTTCTCTTTGTGTGTGAGTGTGTGGAGGGAAGAAGGGAAGGGTGGGTTGCTTGCCTTTTGGGCGGAGGTAACCAGCCAAACTTGATTATCTCTCTTATTGATGATGGATACCCAACTGTATTCAATACCTTTTATAGATTCATAGTTTACATAGATTCAATTAAGTTGATCGCTATATCTAGAAGCATTTTGGATCTAAGTAGTTATATTACCAATTACACTTCTCCTGTAAGAATTTACTTGAAAAGTTGAAACTTTGGAATGATGGAATTCAATTAAGTGGTTTATAGAAGTTAAATAAAGAGGTTATAGTGAGTGGAAGTAGTGGTGATTGTTAATACCGTAGTATTGACTATTGAGTGCTCAAAGAGGAGGGAGAGAATATGAAAGTTACCCTTGAATGACCCGTTCCTTGCTTTGGGAAGTAGCTACCACTAGATGAGGATTAGTTCTGCAATGGGTACTATTTCCTTCAAGTACCATCACCTCTTTGTTTTAGACCTTATCACCCTTGTTAATATTTCTCATTCCAGGCATGGCTTTAGGGTGTGTTATATCATCCAAAATAAATGGTCTGCTGTATGTTCAGATTTGAACTGGTTCACTGACCTTCATCTCACTTTAGGTGTGAGCCCTCTAAAATCCGAACTTGGATTGTGCTATGAAGCATTCAGCAGTATCTGAAAATCAATATTATGAATCTTTTTTTAAATTCTCTTGCATGAATCAGATTCTAGAGAAGAGTAGTTACTTTCTCTTTAAGCATTTGAGATGTAAAAAAATAAAATAAAAAATATAGAATTTGTAACTTGAGTATGAGTATACAAGCTGGCTAATGGTAGGGAGTATAAATCTGCTGTTTCGGTCCCTTTTTTCTGTCTTCTCAAAACATCATATTGTCAGCAATTAATTATAAGCTGTAAACAATGATGTGTTTATAACAAAAGAGGCTTGATTGGGGCCTTCCATTTTTCTATTTTTAAAACAAATACCCATAAGTTGTAACAAATTGGGAAGCTGTCTGCTGTCCTAGTAAGATCATCCAATTGGTTAGAAACCCAAACCTTTTTAATGGTTTGGCAAAAGATCAGGCTACTCATTCATAGGCTGTGAGCCTGTACCAAATCTTTCCCTCCTTTACATTTCATGGCATTATAAGTGCCAACAACTATAATAGCATAGTACTAGATGAGTTATCTAGAGACAAAACTTTGTTTTACTTTTCTTTTGAGTTTGTTTCAGACAGAATAGTTTCAAAGGCAGTTGGATAGAGCTCAGCAGTACATTTGGGAAACAACTTTATGCCATTGCCTTAATGTCTTAAGAGTTGCGAGCTTGTGGCTGTTTTCCTTCTTTGAATGAGAGCAAGGCAGATGTAATTAAGTTTGTAAAGTTTATCAATATTTTATCAATATTATTTCTCTTGACTTTGCTTTGGATAGATCTGTCTCACAGTTTGTAAAGTTTCTCTTTCCTTTTATCGAGGTTCTTTTCCTTGCTGTGACAAAATGGTTACTTTGGTGGCTTTAATTGAAGCATTGTGTTTCGTAAATGTTTTATAAGTTATATCTGACTTCCGTTTCATATTTGTTTGCAGACAGTACATAAGCTTAATGTTATCTTTTCTGCCATACTCCTGATTGGTTCTAACTGGTTTATCAATTGATATGCAGGAGGAACTTCAACTATCACTTTTCAGAAGCCAAATTGGCAAAAATCTTTTTGTGGACCGGGTAATGTATTTTTCTCTCATGTACACATTCATAATAGGATTTTGCTTCTTATTGACTGCAATATATGTTTAGTTATGCCTTGGCAAAAGGGCCATGAGCTTCTAATGGAATGCCTTGAATTATGAGTGTAACATGTTAGCATCGGTAAGCAATGCTAAGCTCTGATTTTTATCATGTTACATTCAACATAGTTCTCTGGCTAAGGAATTGCTTCTTTGAGTACTGACTACTGAGTAATCACTTAAAGAGAGGGTGTGTGGTTGCTTGTTTTTCTTGATGTACAATGCTGCCTAGTACTGTAATGGTTTTCATTACTTTGGGATCTGTGATTGTTATTGACTTTGGCTTAGGAGGAGTTGCAAAGTCCAATAGATGCACGTGGGTTTGATTTTGTGTCCCGGGTATGGCTCCCTACAGACTTTACCAGTCAATTTAGCAAAGTTTTGTTGTATGTGACTATGTGACATTGTTGTCTGAAACTTCTTCTCATCTTTTAAAATATAATAGTAGTTGATTTGAAATTAGGTCGCAGGCTTTCCCACCTTTTAGAAATTCCAGCTAAATCAAGATATTTCATTATAAAGATATCTCTCAACTCTATGATTGGACTGAAAAAGGACTAAACCAGAATAACTTACAATATTATTAAAGGCTAATGGGGAGGGGAGGTGTGGCCCTTTTGGTGCAATCTGATCTGCAGAAGTCATGCATAGTTGCACAAAGGACTCAAGCTCTGATCAATCAACTCATTGGTTTTGCAGGTTTTTGACCTCTTTGATGAAAAGAGAAATGGTGTCATTGACTTTGAGGAATTTATTCACTCATTGAATGTATTTCATCCCCATGCACCTATTGAAGATAAAATTAGCTGTAAGTTTCTGGCCCATCCTCCTGTTTCAGCTTCTGAGATAAGATGTATATATTTTTCATCTCATCTCCTTGTCTAATATCTGTACATGTATTTCAGTTGCATTTAGACTGTATGACCTGGGACAAACTGGGTTCATTGAACGCGAGGAAGTAAGTGTTATTCTGTATTTATGCTCGCATATAACAATTCCAATTCCAAATTCTTAGACATGTTTGCTTTCAGGTTAAGCAAATGGTGATAGCCATTTTATCTGAATCAGGATTGGATTTATCAGATGATCTTTTAGAGTCTATCATTGACAAGGTAAATCTGTTTAGAAGTAGATTTTAATGTGCTTTCTTTTGTTTCTTTGACTCATGTATCTTAATGTATCTGAGTTTTGAGCTTTGACACTCTTAATCTACTTTGGAGCATCCTGGAATTTTATGTATCTTCTTTTTTAGCTACCTATTATTGACCAAACTCTGATTATTCTTAAAAAAATTATTGTTATTCAGACTTTTGCTGAGGCTGATGAAGACAGAGATGGTAAAATTTGCAAGGATGAGTGGAAGACTTATGCTCTTCGTAATCCTAGCCTCTTGAGGAACATGACTCTTCCTCATCTCACGTATGCCACTTTACTCTTACCTCTTTCTAGAACTATCTTCCATTCTTTTGGACTAGTTGTTTTTCATCAAGAACCTATAATTGTTTATGGGTTTATCATCGTGAAGAATGTGAAGATAACATCACCTATGATAACTAATGACTCCAATTTTAATATAAAAGTTGACTACTTAATTCTTGGTGTGATGCTATTATCAAATGGATTTACTCTGGGGATAATGTTTACCATGTAGAATATTAGATCCTATTCAATTTGATGGTCGATATTTTCAACATTTTGAGGTTGTGATACAAATGACTAATTTATTATATTAAAGATCTGTCATTTTCTTTGAGTTTATCGTCTGAAGATAACATCACATATGATAACTGTTGGCTTCATTTTAAATCTAATAATTGACTAATTTATTCTCAATGTAATGTTACTATTAAATGATTTTACTGTTTAGACAATATTAAACTCAAGAATATTGTGGAGAAAACGGCTTAGCCTTTCTATTCCATTAATCACAAATATATACTCAAACAATAGAATACCTAACTTGCCTAAAACTCCTAAACAAGATAAACTTTCCAAATATACAATATTAACATAATTAACAAAACCAAACTCTAATACTCCCCCTCAAGTTGGAGCATGTAGATCACGAATGCCCAACTTGCGTAAAAGAAAACCAAACTGTTGTCGTCCAAGAGCCTTGGTGAGAATATCTGCAACTAATGACCTGCCGAAACATATGAGGTAGAAATATTACCGTTGATCAACTCATCACGAACAAAATGACAATCTACCTCTATATGTTTCGTACGTTCATGAAACACCGGATTCTTAGTTATATGCAAAGCCGGTTGATTATCACAAAACAACTGCATAGGCTTTGAATGCTTAACACCAAGAACAAATAATAACATTTTCAACCATTTCAACTCACAAGAAGCAAGAGCCATAGACCTGTATTCGGCTTCAGACGAAAATGTGGCTACGGTAGGCTGTTTCTTAGTCTTCCAAGAAACAGGAGAACGACCTAAGAAAACAAAATAAACTGACAAAGAATGCCGAGTCAACGGACACGCCGCCCAATCACTATCACAAAACGCCGTCAAGCGTAAATCCGTCGTAGTTCGCAACAAAATACCTTGTCCCGGACTACCCGTAAGGTAGCGCAAGACACGAATGGTCGCATCTCAATGTGAAACGCTAAAAAATTATGCCAAAACATGCACTGAATAACTCAACTCCGGTCGAGTGACCGACAAATATACCAAACAGCCAACCAAACGACAATACTGTTCCGGTTGAGCAAACGGCTCACCTGAAGCATGTGTAAGACGATGATTTTGCTCCATCGGAGTATCAATGGGTCATCGGAGTATCAATGGGTTTACAACCCAACATTCCTGCCTCGAGCATACTTTCGTTGAGAAAGAAAGATGCCCTCCAGACTCCGAGCAACCTCAATGCCTAAGAAATACTTAAGCAAACCCAAATCCTTCATATAGAAGCATTTGCACAAATAGGCTTTGAACCTAACAATAGCATCATGAGATGAGCCTGCAATAATCAAGTCATCGACATATACAAGAACATGCAAAGAGACATTGCCTTGTACATAACTGAATAGGGAGTAATCAACATATGAGTTTTTAAACCCAAAAGCTCGCAGAGCACTAGACAACTTTGAGAACCACTGTCTCGGGGCTTGTTTCAAGCCATATAAAGACTTCCGCAACCTGCAAACTTTGCCAGGTGTCGGAGTACCGTACCCTGGAGGAAATTGCATATACAATTCTTCATCCAAATCACCATGAAGAAAAGCATTATGAACATCCATCTGATGTAACTTCCAATTCAAAGATACGGCAATAGCTAACAAAATACGTACCGTACCCATCTTTGCAACAGGAGAAAACGTATCATTATAATCAACACCTTCAACCTGTCGGTTGCCATGAACAACCAAACGAGCCTTGAGACGTTCGACCTTCGATTTGTCTGTGTACTTGATTTTATGCACCCAACCACTACCAATAGCCCTCTTGCCTAGAGGAAGATCCACAACGGTCCATGTGCCATTGCGTTCTGGAGCATCAATCACATCTTGCATAGCCTTACGCCAACCGATGTCTTTAACCGCCTCTTTGAATGAAGACGGTTCCTTTCCCTTAGTGATCGTCGCTAGAAAACACGTGTCTGTTAGAAAAACAATTATATTCAACATGACAAACTATAGGGAAAGGTTTACCTGAGGAATGTGATTGAGGAGGGACGACAGTTGATGTAGATGGTTTTATATTTTCAGTAATGATAGTGTGAGTAACATAATTTCGATGCCACGAAGGAAGACCTTTTTCACGATGACCACGACCCAAATTATTCGACGAACTCCCCCTCAAATATTCCGGGTTAATAAAAATATTTTCACCATCCAATTCTCGCTCAAGAACTACCCCCGAGCTAAAACCTTGATTACCAATCTCATCGGAGCTCACCGGATTTTGCTCTGGCGAGGTAGTCACAATTTTCGGCGAGGCAGCCACCTGCGGCGGCGGGGCAGGTGGCTGGACAGGTGGCCGAGCACAGTGTCGCTGCTGGCTGCTACTGCCAGCACCCGTGGACAAACCAGCGGGCCCAAGCAGATTCCAGCGGGCTGGCCAATGCCTCGCTGCTGCTGAGCGTGCGCCTAGCCAGTGGGTGCTGGCTGCCCTGCTGCCATATCTGTTGCGTGGGAGGAGCTGGTGGCAGATAGATCGCTCCGCAGCCTGGTCGCGGCCGCGGCCCGGTTGCGGGGTGCACTATTTCGGCCGCGGCTCCTTCCCCTTGTACACCAATATGTGTCCCCAAAAATGCATCATCATCATCCCACATCGGGAGATTTGCAAAGTATCGTTCCCACAAAAGTCTCTGCTCATCCGGAAGTGATTCGAGATACGGAATTATCCTAAAAAAATGAACATCTCGACTTACAAAAATTCATTCGTCTCTAAATCATAAAGATGCCAACCCTTCTTACCGTGATGATAACCAACAAAAATACATTTTCTGGAACGAGAATCAAACTTATCTTTAATCCGGGGACGATTCGTAGCGTAAGCAAGACAACCAAAAACTCGCAAACTATCATAAGAAGGTGACTGACCAAATAAATACTCATGAGGAATTTTACCTTTCAAGATCGGAGTCGGTGTGCGATTAATGAGATGCACAGCAGTCATAACACACTCACCCCAAAAATACTTGGGCAACTTTGACTGCAATCGAAGAGCTCGTGCCACATTTAAAATGTGACGATGTTTACGCTCAACTCTACCATTCTGTTGAGCCATGTCAACACACAACGTTTGATGCAAAATACCTTTCTTAGCAAAGAAAGAACTCAAACTGAGAAACTCCTAACCATTATCACTACGAACCACCTTGACCTTACGGCCAAATTGAGTCTTAGCCATAGCGCAAAACTCACGAACCAACTGAGCAGCTTCATATCTACCAACCATTAAGAACACCCAAGTAGAACGCGAAAAATCATCAACAATGGTAAGAAAATACCGAGCATCACAACTAGACAAAATCTTATTCGGACCCCAAATATCACAATGAATCAAATCAAATATACCAGATGCTCGATTCGTACTTAAAGGAAAAGAGTTGCGGGGTTGCTTCCCCATAAAACAAATGTCACAATCAAGCGAACAACTAGCAGAACTACTATGGCCATGAGTACTACGAGAAACTCCCGGAAGAGAACTAACCACTTGCATCGATGGATGACCAAGACGTTTGTGCCATAACAAACTTGCATCTGAAATTACCACTTTGTTTGCCTGAGAATTCCAAGCACGAACCGGATGGAAAATATAGACCCCATCACACTGCTCCCCCGCTCCAATCAGGTTCCTCAAACTGTGGTCCTGAATGCATAGCTTGTCAGTGAACATAATAAAATAGGATTGTTTTTCTGACAACCGAGACACAGACAACAAGTTGCATTTAAGAGCAGGAACATAAAGAATATTATCAAGAGTTAAATTATCAGACAGAATAACTCTCCCTTCTTTAGTAGCACTAGTGCTCTTCCCATTAGGCAAACTAACAGGAGATGGAATATCAAATAAATTGGTAAATAAATCAATATTACCAGACATATGATTTGAAGCTCCAGTATCAATGAGCCAATCAACTGAATTATATGTGTGAACAGACGAAGAACTCGAGTGCTGAACGACTGCTAGAAGATCTTTCCATTGTTCATCGGTGATAGTAGGAACACTCCTACGATCTGCTGCAGTAATATGCTCAATTGCACGGTTAGATTGAGCCCCCATTGAAAGAGAACACCAATCTAGTTCAACAATAAACTAAGATACGAGCCCACCAAACTAGCTCAACAATAATACTCTGTGCAACACAAAGGCCACCCAAGTGCAGAAATACCACCACAAGTGCACAAACCAAGAAAAAGAATATGGCAAAATATAAAAGCACAAATACCAAACTTTTGCACCAACACAATACCACAATCCACTTTAATAGGAAAAGTGAATAATTAGCCAACCTTGAACCAAAAAAAATCAATGAGTGAAGGAACAAGCGATGGAGACAAAAAAAAAAAAAAAAAAAAAAAAAAAAAAAAAAAAAAAAAAAAAAAAAAAAAAAAAAAAAAACACCACTAACTTGGTCTGCCTTTAAGGAAACAAAGTGCAAACCTCAAAACTAACAAACACGAACTGTTGAGGGGGAAATTGCAAACCTCAAATGCTAACAAACCAATGTAGCACGCACACACAGCAGCACCCACTTGAGCACCCCACACACACGTAACAACAACACGCTGCCAGCAACGGACACCACACCACAGCAGACGAGCACCACTGACGCGCACACACAAGCAGCAACACTCGCACACTGCCTGCGCACAACATACTACCAACACCACACACTAACACAGTGCACTACCTAGGGCAGCACACACCAACCCAATGTAGCACGTACACCCGCACGAACCACAACACCACAGCAGCACCCTACTCAGAGCACCACAAAACAGTACACACCCAAAGATGCGTACTCCAAAAAAAAGAACAAAAGTATTAGGGTTTGTGAGCCCTAATTTTAAGCAAATAAAATTGTGGGAATTATAAAAATTGAAGCCTAAATCTCACAATCAAACAATTAATTTGCGGAATTAAATCAAGAACAAACCAAGAACTAACCAAGATCGAATTAAATCTCTAGAAATTAGAGAGGCTCTGATACCATATTAAACTCAAGAATATTGTGGAGAAAACGGCTTAACCTTTGTATTCCATTAATCACAAATATATACTCAATACAATAGAATACCTAACTTGCCTAAAACTCCTAAAGAAGATAAACTTTCCAAATATACAGTATTAACATAATTAACAAAACCAAACTCTAATAGACAATGTCAATGTTTTTCATGTAGAATATTAGATCCTTCTGAATTTGATGGTCATTATCAACATTCTGAGGCTGAGATACAGGGTATAATGACTAATTCATTATAAGGGTCTAAGGGACCCAAATATGATTTTGTGATGACCACTTCTATTGATCCGTGTAATAATAACCAAAAATGATGTGTCTTTAATGTTTTTAGAAATTAGTTTTTTTTTTGGTCTCTCATCTATTGTATAACAAGGTTTTTGAATGCTCTTTAGCAGTAATAACGTTGTGATTATATCAAAGTTACCTTAGGATTTTTTTTTTTTTTATTTTTTTTTTTTAGGGGGGGGGGGGGTGGGAGGAGTTGCTATTAAGGTTTCTCAATATGCACTTGATATTAATTTAATATTTGTGATTTTTTTTTTAGGGATGTAACCACATGTTTTCCAAGTTTTATTTTCAACACTGAAGTTGAAGAATGAGTGATGCTTCCTCATGGGTAGTTTTGGAAAAGATAGAAAAAAGAGCCCCAAGAAAACTAGGCATTTAAAGTGTTGCCTGAGGTTGGAAAGTTCCCGGTATTCAGCAGTTGGCTACTTATCTGATGCAAGTATGATTCTGGTAGTCACAATGGCAAAGATTCCTGCTCTAATTGATTTGGAAATTGTGGGACTTTTACAGCCCGTTGGTAGGCCAGTAGCCAGTAGTTATATGGAGGTAATGATAAACTATATACAAGTATGATTTTGGAAAGAAAGCCTCATGTCATTGTCAAATGTAATGTTTGTCCACCTCCATATATATATTTGCTTTGTAAATTTCCATCACCTATCATTCTCACTTCTAAGGCAGTGTGTTGAGTTACAAATCTTACAATAGAATCTATGAAGAAAAATACATGATGGATTCCATCGACACGGGAACTGCCCTTACAATTTTGCATATATCTTCATTTTCATCGGCTCATTTTTAATTGTATAACATAAACCCGTTAGTGCAGTCGGTAGCAATCTTGAACCTGTAAATTCTGTAATATTGTGAAGGCCGTGTTAGTGCAAAGTGCCCTGTTTCTCTTTATACAGATTGCCTAAAATATCTGGCAATTCAAAATTTTCCAATATGTAATAAGCACTTCGTCACAATTTTTCAGACATCTTCAATACTCATATCATGTGCCCTTTATTGTGATTAATTGTAATTATTCTTGAGGGAAATTAATGTAATAAAGATATCGAAATTTTTTATGTGAGGGGCTCCCTTTAGTTTTTCTGGATGTGTTGTGTGTGTGTTTTGGTAAGGTATGAAATCCAGAATAAACTTCTTAGGTAACAACATTTTTTTAGCAGCAGAGGACTGAAGGAGACAGATTAAGTGTAAGGTTTACTTTTGAAATCCTTAATTTCCTCAAGAGTACTGAGATATGATGAAGTAATCTTCGTAGATTTTACTTCCAGTGAAAGAAGTAAAACCTTTAGCTCTTCTGTTTCTGTGCTCTTTGTTCTTCCCTGTAATTTTGTAAATCTGCTATCCAGTGATTCTTCGTGCTTAGTGAAGTCATCTGCAACTTTATCAGCTTTTATATTCACTGAGCAACTTCTCCAGATTCTTAGTCCTTATAGAACTGTGGAAACTTCTGCTTCTCTCGAATAATAATCCCGAGGTGTTTCCTTTAAAATGTTTGATACTGTAACCTCAACTTTCACGAGTGAGAATAGCTTGAAGCTCACTGTTATCTTCCTCACTTTTATACAAGCTTTTATAGAACAACTATAAATCTATAATGCTTCAATATTTTCTTAGACTGAATGCTAATCTAACAGATTGTGTGAAACTTTTCTTGTCATCGGTACATCGGAATGGTGAAGAATCATACTAACAGATAGATGCTCTTATCTGCTTTGATACAGCTTTCAACATGAGCTTTTGCAGGTAAGTGCTCTTACTATGCGTCTATGCTAGCAGATTAATCACCTTATTATGCTATAATATGCCTCTAAAGTTGACTAAACTGCATAAAGGATTAATAATTTATTTGTCTAAGTTGCCTTTACCTTTCAAGGATCAAACCCTTAAAACATGCAAAGATTATCCTTTTCTCCTTAAACTGTAGTTAAGCTACAAGGTTCAGATATTTAGAGGCTATGTTTTCCTGAAAAGATGAAAACTTGTCCTCCCATCTCAGTTAATAATGATAGTAATTAGGCTTCTGCTGTCAAAAAGGAAAAAACTAATGCTTAAATTTACTTCTTTATTGCAAAGGATTTCTAGCAACTATACATTATGGATCCTTTATATTTTATAAATGCCTATCAAACATGCTTATTAAAAGTAACGAAACTCCAACTTTTGTATTATGAATTTGGCAATTCCCATACGTAATTAGTTTGTATTCCAACAAAACCGCCTAACTATACTGAATCGTGGGACCAAGCAAGGCTTGACCTAGTGGTAAAGTGTTTGATCTCATGACTTAAAGTTCATGAGATCAAATTCCCTAAGGGCTTTTCGGGGGTGAGGATTCTCTTATCTTTCCCCTTCAAGTCCTAATGAGTTTGAGAAGCAAAACTGAACTGGATTAGCCAATACAAATACTTAAGGTAAAAGTTTAACTTACATAATTTGTGGTCTTGACTTTTGAGTTTTTACTATATCTTGATATCCACTTTACATTTTTTACCATCTGTTTAAAAAAAACACTGCGTCTTGAAAACTACTCTCAAATCACTAATTATTGTAACTTTGCAAGCAAATGAGAGAATAGTACTCAAGAATAATAAGAAGAAACAATCATCATTAAAGCACAAGACATCATTAAGAAAATAAACCTTAAGTGGGTTATGAAATATTTTTACAAAGATATTGTCCTAAGATGAGAACAAGACTAGTACTAGTTAAAATCGGTAGCTTTCATAATCACTCTCCTTAGCTAAACTAGTCATAGTTTTAGTTCACTTGTATGTAGGCCCTATTTTAGCTTAGTCCTAGCCAAAGGAGTCAAAAAATCCTGCACTTTGTTTTTGTGGGTCATTTTTTTGAAGTTTTAGGTGGAACTGTTTTTTTATTTTCTCTTTTGCATGTGCACCGCAACATATGTGCCACACCGTTCAACGAAAGCAACTCAACTATTAAAAGATTTTCCATTCATAATCATTATTATTATTTTTTTTATAAAAACATTATTATTATTATTATTTATTTTACATCATACGTCATTTTTTAATTTTTCATAATACTACCTCCGTAAACGGTTATCTGCAACAATGGTACCGTTCACGGAGGCCTAGGCAAAATTTGTATTGGGTTGTTTAAAGTGGGTAATTGCTTAAAGTACAAAGTGATTAATCAATACAAAAGGGGTCCCGGTTTTTTAAAAGGAGGAGAGAGAGTCTGCCAAATTTTGGGGTCAAAATTTTCCCACCAAAATTTTGGGCCTCCTTTTAAAAATTTCAAATTCCACCCAAATTTTTCCCTCTTACTTAAATTTGCTGGCAAATAAAAGGGGGTATATAAACCACCTGCCAGACATTGTTATTTAGAACAAGCATTCAAACAAACATTCCAAATGTTGTTCCAAATTACAGCATTCAATGTTCACAAAAGTTAGAGCTTAATTAAACATTCCAAATGTTGTTCCAAATTACAGCATTCAATGTTCACAAAAGTTAGAGCTTAATTTTCTACCTAAACCTAATTACTCCTACGTCATTAGCAGTGGATTAGCAGCAACTCAGCACAGCTCTTCAAAATTGGCCCACTTCATAAGCAGTCCTGCAATCTGGGGACTCAGACAAATTAGCAAAGGCAACATGGCAGAAAATTCATTTGATGAATTTTTCAGCATTGACCAAATGCTCAATGATGAAAGCAGCATGGAACATAGTCAGACAAGCAGCATGGAAGGGGCTCAGTACCAGGACAACACTAGTCCAGATGATGAAGCAATCCAGCAACCAACAAGCAACAAGCAGAAAACAGCTCACAGTTTCCAAGAAAAGGGAAATTGTAGATGAGTATCTACAAAAGCTACAAAAGCCATTAAAAGTAAATGGCCAGGCCATGTATCTAAGGATGTATGGATTCAGTGGGATAATGCCAGACCACACCAAATTCCTAGGGATGAAGAATTTCATGAAGCATGTCACTCAAATGGTTTCAACATACAGTTCATTTATCAACCAGCTCAATCCCCAGATTTAAATGTCTTAGATTTAGGGTTGTTTAATGTGATACAATCAATATAATACCAATCATTTCCTAGAAATCTAAAGGAACTCATAGAGAAGGTAACAGAGTCTTATGAGTTGTTCAACCCAGTGTTGAACAAACGTTGTTGGATAACTTTACAATGCTGTATGGAAGAGATACTGAAGGACCAAGGGGGGAATAACTTCAGCCCACCACACAAAGGGAAGAAAAGACTAGAAAGACTGGGCATGCTACCTGAAGTGCTACAAGTGGACAGGGGTTTGGTTCAACAAACTGTTGAATACCTCAACACCATTATCATTCCAACAGGTGAAGTGAATCAGGAAGATGAAGGCATGCAGGTGGATGCAGATTAAACAGAAGTGAATCAAACTAGCAAGGACCAAGTCAGACTGCCACACATAACCATTGAATGCAAGGTAGTTTATTTTGATTTTTGTATGGGACTCTATGGTTAGGTGTATTTTGTTATCAAAACCATGTTTATTGTGAATGTAAGGCAGTCAAGACTACTATCCTTAAAAGATGTAAAAGCTTTTGATAAATTTTATAACTTCATTTATGTCTTGTTTAAATCATTTCTATGTAGTGGTAAGTAAATGACATGAACTGTGATGCACAGACACACAACTGAGTCCATCAGAGGGTTATGATATTTCACAGAAATTGCATAAATGGTTACCTCAACAACAACTTACAATGGAAGTTGTTGGAGCAAGACCAACTTATGAATTTTATGCATCAACTGAGTCCCTTCATCATTTGGATCTCTCAACCACACAAACAATAGTTTGGGACTCCTACTACATTTGGGCACAAATAGGTCACAGGGGGACTCAAAGAGGGAGATACTGAAGTGCATGAATGAAACAACACCACCAACAGAAGAAGCATCACCCACATAGCAACAATACCATGCCCATCATAACACAAACCAGTGTACACACAAACCAGGGGACACACAATTTGACAGACACACAACTAAATTATACTCATTGGCAAGATCACACAAACCATATGATTGAAGCTCCCAATTTCAAAATAAAAAAGCATGAAACAAGCCATCCAGAGCAAGAGTAAGCCATCAACAGCAGGAGTAACAACAATAAATTAGCAACAGCAAACAACAATAACTACTAATAATTCCCATACAACAATAATCAACCAGCACAGCCTTGTAATCATACCCACAACACAAATCACAGATTGAAATTAAGTATGATGAACACATAAAAACATAGGTTGAAGGGTTAGAACATTGTTACGCTGATGAATTAGGAACAGACTTAGGTGGAAGGGTTGCTAACCCCACCCATATCAACAGCACCATCGTCAGGGGACTCAGCACGCTCCCTTTTTCTGCCAGACAAGATCTGGGTAGATCTACCCACAACAACCACCTTTGATGTGGTTTTCTCCGGCGACAGGGTTGCAGAAGGGGTTTCAGAACCATCGCCCTTCACAACATCAAGATCAGGCGCCTCTTTGCTCGAAACCTGACCCTTTTTGCCTAGATCTAAAGCAGGGGACTCAGCACGTTCATCATCAGACTCGTATGGGGTAAGCTTTGAACCCCCACCATTCTTACGCTTCATATCCAGGTACGTAGCCATACGCGTACCAATTAGCCTCATCTTCCCAGTTTGTCGCTGACATTTGTAGGTCGCAACAACACCAAGATCTTGTTTTTTCTCGTTTGGGGAACTCATGATTTCAGGGTTTTGACAGAAAGATGTAGAAGAGCACAGAGATCTGGGAATTTTAGGGTTTCTAACAAGAGAGAGAAAGAGGGAATCAGGATAAGAGAGAGAATGAGGTTCGCATGAACGAAACGACACCAGATGCAAAGTGAAGGCTTCCAGAACATTTTCCAAAAGCTAAAGGGCGTCATTAATGGAGGTTGTTGAAGGTTCATTGAAGAGGGTGGTTGAGGAGATGAAGTGAATGTGATGGAAAATGAGGTCAGTGAGGGGTTTTTGGTGGGAATCATTAGGGTAGATTGATTGTTTATAGGGATAAGTAATAAGATTAGGAAGGTAGGTTAAGTTATAATCAGATTTTTAAAAGGGCATTTTCGTAATATCACATGTTAAAATTTTACTTAAAATGGAAAAAAATCAATTTGTTGCACATAATATGAAGCACCTACTTTTGGTAAATGTTGCAGATAACCGTTTACGGAGGTAGTATAAAGAATTTAGAGAATTTGGCGCCAATTTACCCCATTACACGTTTGGTTTAATTTAGAAAAAATTTCCCTCCGTGGGGTTTGTGTGTGAGTATGACATTGACAACCTTTTTTTTTTTTTTTTTTTCTTTGCTTTTGGTGATCACTAAGCTACTAGATTTTTAGTGGTTGATTATAGGGCCACATTTATACGCATCCATATCTACCAAGATACTATACAATATTGAGTGAAGTTGAGTCAATTTATTTAATTATATACAAAACTTATACTTTTGTGGTAGTGACTAGTGATGCTACAAGTTGAACATTATACTCAATTTCATTTTGTTTTGAATGGAACTTAATTTGAACGACACATTTGTCACTTTCTATTGTAGCTCTTTTTTCGTTATCATGTCTGTTTTTCTAGTGAAATTGCACACATAGACACCAATACTCATAAAATAGGACAACTATTAATAATTAGAGGGCGCACGAAATTGGTGTACACCTAAATGCAAGGTAGTTTCATCTAGCCCTCCGATTTTAGGTTACTAAAACTATGTGGTGGTCGAATGAGGAATTATGTATTTGGTGATGGTGGCAACACTCAATGGCACCAAGTGTGAGGTGGTGGATGTTGGATGGTGAGGAAAAGCCAAAATAGGTGGGGTTAAGGAGTTGGAAGGGGAAGGGAGGAGAAAAGAGAGGGGCAATGGGATAAGTATTTTTGGAAAAAAAAAAAAGAAAAAATATGGAGAATTCAAGGCCATGTTTAGTAAATACTCATCAATGAACATTTCTCAATGATATCAAGAGTCATTGAAGACTCAAGCTATTTGATATGAATTTCCCATCATCATTTTCTAACAAGAGTTACAATTTGTTAATTCAACATTTAGTAAACTAGTGGTAGCAAAAAATGTTGTTCTCTAGCCTCCCTTAGTTTTATTTATTTATTTTTATTTTTAGAAAACCTTATTTTAAAAATATTATGATAACACTTTGATACGTAATTTATAAGTTAGGTTAAAAACATTTTGATGGGTGCATGAGTTGACAAATTGTAACTTGTAAGGGAAGATGATAATTAATCCAAGCTCTTAAAAACAAGGGAGACAATATAATTGAAATAGTAACATACAAATTGTAGTTTAAAAGACATAAAAACTAAGATTATTCTCCCATATTTATTAAGCCAGACAAGAGAATCTAGCATTTTGCACACTTGACATGAGTAAACATGTAAAATCATTGGTATGTTTAGCATGCTTGTTATTCCCTTACATCCATAATAAGAAGGCTGGGCGGGCGGCCGAGCAATCGGGTCTAATTAGATGCAGCTTCCATGGCAGACACTCAACCATGAAGCATAATGTTAGTTATGCTTCATGGCTAGCTAAAGGGGATCACCAAGATGTTGGAAGGCATATTCATCATTGATGTTGGTCATCAGTCTCAGTTTTTTACAAAGAGAATCATTATTATGAGTTTTAACTTTAAAAAAGCATCATTTCATTGCACAAAAAAGCAAAGACCAAATAGCCAAAATATAAAGCAACAACCTTAGTATATAATCAGATAAAAATCTTTTTTTTTTTTGGATGATTCTTTTCATTACAACCCCCAAATCATCATATACATCACTATGTGTTTAACATAATGACATATACATAAAAACAATACACACTAATTAATGAAAATTAGAGAGGAAAAAAAAAAGCCAAAAGCCAAATCTTGTTCATAAATCCAAGATGGGCCCCTCCCAAATCTCCTTTGAATGGGATTATCAAGCAAATTACATTACATTACATTACATTACCATAATTAGGAAAAAAATTAAGAAAAAATTAAAAAAAAAAAAAAAAAAAAAAAAAAAAAAAAAAAAAAAAGAGTAAAAGTCACTACCACCACACAACAATAATAGGTGGTTGTTAGACTTTGATGATATTTTGTATCATTTTTCTTTCTCTCCCTTTCTTTCCCTTTCAAGGGAGAAGTTAAGACATGTTTTTCCTAATTTTTCCTAAGACAAACTATATTTTAAGCCCTTAAACCAACCCAACTAAATGATAGGATGGTAAGGTAATTACCATCCAATTTCAACACTAATCTTTCTTTACATGTTCATTAGTGTTAAAAATTAAAAAAAGGATGGATTTTTTTTGGTTACTAAAAACTAACATCAAACTTTGACAAACTCACTATATTGTATTAGTCTAACTACTAATACTAGTAAAGTCAATACTAAAAATTAAACAACCCTTTGGTACTTAGGTGAATTAATCATTGAGCAATCAAAATTATCTAACCCCCTTTTCCTGGGGGAATTAGAAGTAGTAATGGTTACTGGTGGAATTTCAATGGAGTCAAGTCTAGGAGGTGGATGTTGCCATTGTGGAAGCGGACCGGCTAATAGGAGTGTTTGTAGAAGTGGTCCGGCTTCCATTACCGCCTTTAATAGCTTCCCTTTCTCTGGTAAGGGGCGGCGATTGCTCGCCAATGTTGCTGCTATTTGTGGTGGCAATGCTGGTTGTTGTATGGTAGCTGGGGAGTTAGCACCTCCTTGTGGAGAAGAGATTATGCTGCTCTCCTCACACTCAGAAGACGATGTGGAAAAACAGTTAGTTGTTGTGTTAGTATTAGACAATGAAGCTGCTGCTGCAGACTTCTGCTGCTGCTGCTGCTGTTGCTGCAGGCTGTCCTGCTGTGGCTGTCGCTGTCGCTGCTGCTGTAATTGCTGTTGGAGCAGCAGCTTTTCCAGCATTAGTTCCCGGGATTTAGATTGAGCTTCATCTCTTTCCTTAATTGTCATCATTAAGATATCTTTCATCTGAATTAATTCCTCCTCTTTTTTCATAATTTCTTCCTGAGCAGCTATTACTGTTGCCTCTAACTCCATTCTTGATTGCAATATGTACTGTCTCATCTCACCCATCATTCCCTGCAAGAAATAAAAGTTCAAGTCAAAAAACTGTGTTAAGTTATGCGTTATACTACTCCCTCTGTCTCTAATTGTTGTAAAGGTAAGAACAACATTTATAGACGAGCAAGCAACAGAACAAATCAATTGTTACTAAAAAAAGTACTTAATTAACTGATTAGACAAGTAAAACTAGTAAAAAAATGATGGGATTCAGTCTAATATGCACATAATTAGCTGATTTGACAAGAAAATCAAGTAAAAAAAGATGGGAATTTTTTTTTTACCTCTTCTTCATTATAGTAAACCCACCCAAAAGGGCTGCATTGCTCCATTTTTTTCCCCCCAATTGATTAGAATTAGCCTAGATTAGAAGGAAGTTAGAAGCAGAAAAATAGAGAGAAAAACTCTTTTTTTTGTAAGTGGTTTAAGAGTATAGAATAGAATGAAGATATAATGTGGGGTGATTTGTCTCCTTATATGGAATAGAGAAGAAGTCACTATTTATGTGCTTTAATTGCTTTTGGTATATTTGGGTAGATTGCTTTTAGGGATTCATGGGACATATGGTTGGACAAAGACACCAAAAGCCAAAAGCATGCAAATACACAAATGCGACTTTCCTATTTGCTACAGCTTTTGTACTAAAACTAATTATGCTCTATCTCATCCCATGTTTTTACTTTATTGCTTATGGGATTTTTGGGGATTCATATTCATTTTTCTATTCTCTTAAGTTTTCGCTTTAAGGACTATAAGCAATTTGCGATTTATGCGTCTTTTATGAGACGGACTTACAATAATTTATTGTGAGGTCGGGATGACTTTTGAATTGCTAAATTCAAATAATGTATCTTAAGATTGGACCGACTATTGTATTATAAGAAGTGACTTGGATTTTGTGGAATATAATTCATTTTTATGTGATTGTAAATGCTACTTTGATTAGTTTGATAGATGTTGATAAACGCAGGTAGCATCTTGTATGAGACGGACTTACAATAATTTACTGTGAGATTAGAATGACTTGAGTTCTATTGGAATAGCTTTTAATGTCAACATAAATTATTACAAGTCTATTTTCTTAGAATGAATTGAGGATGTGGCAACTTGCTTTGTATTATGTGAGAAAATGAGCTTTGTTTGTAGAATATGCATCTTCCCCTAATCCCATCTAAAACCCTAAAGGTGTAATTTTTATGTATTACAACTTCTATCAGATGTGAATGTTAATTTGGTTGATCAAATTGTATTTTGTTAAACATGTCACACTCTTTTCAATGTAATTTCTATTAATAGACTAGGGAAAAAACTCACTATATGTAAAAATAAGTGAGAAAATGACTTAAACGTAATGGACCATAATCACCTCTTTAGTTTGATAATATGGGAGTCTTGGTATGAAACAAAAAGAATATCATTAAATAAAGCAAAAAAATAGTCAAGGGAAGACAAATTATCAAGATTAAAAGAGTGACTCGCCCTATAATATCCTTGCCATAACAACACCAATTGTCACAAACTCACAACTCACAGGAGAAGTTGCAGACCTACTAAAATCAGCTATATATATGGAGAATGTTCTTATATATGCTCTATTAGAAACTAACATTACACATGTGAAGTTATTTACAGATTGTAGTATTACACCTCACAATTACATATACTATAAAATCATCTTAGAATATCACTAATAATTCTGATTTAAAATAAATTGTATAAAGTATAAAATTTACTATTAGCTTTTTATAACCCACAAAATCAATTGTGTAGTCTAATTTACTACTTACATTAATCCGTTGTTTTGAAGTTTGTCAGGTCAATTAAATTCGATTCAGTTCAATTCACTTTAGTTCACCTCTATTTAGAATTTTGTTTTGAAGTTTGGCGTTGTTTAGTAAAGACCTTTTAGCTTATTTTACCCAATTAAAAAAGCTAATTTAGGTGTTTGATAAATAGGTTATTAAAAGAGTGCTCAAAAAGCTCTTTTAGAAAAATTTCATTGGCTGTGTTTGGTAACTAGTTTATTTGACCAACATTAACTTATTGACTACGGAGTATTAAATAAGCTAATTCAAGGTGTTTGATGGGAAGCTTATTTAAAAAGCTTATTCCACTAAATAAGCTCTTCAATTCTTATGGTGAAATGACACTTATACCCCCATTAATTAAAAAAAGTCCTATATGAAGTACCTACCCCACAATTAGCTTATTGTCCATTTCACATAATCAACCAGCTTTAAACAATCAGCTATTTATCAAACATTTTTCTACAATAAGCTAATAAAATAAGTTAGTCAAATTGATTAATACAATTAGCTAATTAAAATTAGCTAACACAATCAGTTTCAGCTTTCAGCTTTTCCCCAAACCACGAGCATTATAAGAGATTTTTAAAATTAGCTTATTGTACAATTAGTTTTTTTGCTCTTAAATACACTAAAACAACAAACAATTAACAGTTATTTACCAAATACTTTTATACAATCAGCTAATTGTAACCAATTAGTCAAATCAACTAATACAATAAGTTATATCAATCAGCTACCAGCTAATTACCAAACAGAGCCTTTATATTTTAGTTCAGTTCAATACAATTTTGTTTAATTCAGTCCAAATAAGTCGCAAAGAACCAGGTCGTAATTATAGCTAGTCAGAACAGGACTGAACATAGCAAGTAAGTGTGTAGACTGTAGTAGCCGTTAGTAAAGTGTGAAATAGATGAGTAGTTAGTTACAAAAAAAGGGCGCCGCAGACGCAGTGGCATGCACGTGCAGTTTGGCCGTGTGAAAGTAAAGAGGTTCAGTTATTCTGGTTTAGACCGTTTTTAGCTATTATGGCTTGACTTGACATTCTTCTCACTTCTCAGGCTGTGGCATGGTTAGCTGGTTTCCATTGAACAGGATATTATTGTTTACTTAATCATTTTTCAAAAGCAATGCATCAACCCTTTCACTCTACTATACCCCTAAAATCCACTTTATTCATTGTATTTTCCTAACATAGTAAGATGAGAGTTCATCATATACTTCGTTTCATTAAAATTGTAACAATTGTAACTGATCGTTGTTCTATACATAGATAAATGAAGAGAGCTAATATGTGAGTTGTTTCTTACTTGTGTGATTTACAGATTACACAAAAATTAGCCTATTAAATTAGTTGTGGATAAATGGGATTGTTCTAAGCAAATGCAGTGGGGAGGTGGGCTTATTTCGAGATTACACAAAAGTTGGATTGTTTTGAACATAATTGACAAATATGAAGAATTTTTTTTTTAATGTTTTCAATTAGGAAAATTTGTAAATTACCACCCAAAAAGAGGTCCAGTTTTGAAATTACCACCCATTAAAAACTTTATTTTAAATAACCACCCATTAAATTAATTAATCTTTCAGATTACCACCCATTTGGATTTTCCGGTTGAAAATCCGTTTGAGGGGCCCACATAACTGCTATTAACGGCTAGTTTGACTTAATTGACTGGGTTTCTCCTCGATTTTTCGTGTTTATATATTTCCCAACTACAATTACTTGGAAAAAAAAAAATATATCTCCAATTAACAAATTCTTCCCCTAATTTCTTCCAAATTCCCCAAATTTGAACTGGTATTGTGCGACGAATTAATCCATTGAAGTTCAGACCCAATTGAATTCGCATTTGAGGTAAGACTCCAGAACTTTAAAAATTAGGGTTCCTGGGTAAATTTATTTGGGGGATTTTGCAATTAGGTTTCGTGGAAGTAATTAATTGGGTGTTTATGTTATTTTTCTGGTAATTGGTGTTGGTGTTGTCCAAATTTGGTGAATGATTGTTTATTAGGTTGAATAATGGTGTCAAATGTGTTGTTTTTTTTAAAGAAAGATGTGAATGATTCATTCATGCATGAAGTTGTAAGCTTGGTTTTGTGTTGTTTTTTGTTGAATGATGTCTTGCAGAAATGGAAAGAGGGGATAAGTACATTTTCAGATTTAAGTATTTTAGTTTTGTTGTGGACCTTGAGTATGAAGTAGGCAACAGTAACTTACAGGACACAACCATAGCTTTCGAAGATCAACTGCGTGACATGGAAGATCCAAGTGAAGGATCAATTGATCTTCTTTATCTTATATTTCAGTATATCTATAAAGGGAAGTATAGGACTTTAGAAGATGATGGTGATGTGTTCAAGATGATTAGGAGGTTGGGGAATAAGGATATGTACATCATACATGTTGGGAGCACAGATGACCCAGGGTTCTTAGCTGACTGTATCATTGAGTACAGGATGAAACAGAATGGGACTTGGCCACCCCCTGGTTATCCTCATTATGGGGGTCAACCACCACAGTGACTAGGTGTGCTTGTCTTAGAATAATATAATTGCTTGTGTTTGCTGGAAATGTTGCACAGACTGAGTTGTTGCTTTGTAAATGCAGGTTAGAAAATGTCTTGGAATAACACATCTCCCACTAACCAGAAGAAATGCGCAATTGTGGACTGCCCTTTGCTAGGTTGACATCTTGGACCAGAGAGAACCCAGGAAGGAAATTCAAGGCTTGCAAATTCTATGACCCTAACACTGAAACTAGAGGGTGCAAGTGTTTTGAATGGATTGACACTGAAGATGGAACTGAGTGGCAAAGAGATGTGATCAACAATCTTTTGCTTGACAAAAAATTGATGAAAGCTGAAGTGAACTATCTGAAAAGGGATGTTGATGACTTAAGTGGGCAGAGAAGGTGTCTTCTTAATGAGGTGGATACATTGATAGTGAAATGCAAGGCTTTAAGTGGATATAGGAAGAAGATGCTCAATGGCAGTGGCAATCCTGATAGCAAGCTAATGATTGTTGTAGTTGTTGTTTGGTCCTTAATTTTAGTTTTAGGTTGTGTTGTAGTTAATAAACTGGTTTAAGGGAGGTGTAGTTGTTGTAGTAGTTGTTGATTATAATGTTGAACTTGTTATTTTAGTAATGGAATGAACAAGTATTTCTGGTTTATTTGGCTTATGTGTTATGTTTGCTGATGCTTTTTATTAGCTTCCTTATTTGTTGATTGTTCTGTAAAAGAAAAATAAAAGGAAATAGAATATGGGCACACCACAATTTAATCAACACAGTTGCAGCTAAATGAATTAAGTATTTGGGCAAAGTTTGTCCAAACCAAACTGTCAATTTCATTGAAACAACATCCAAGATTACACAAGTCACAAAATACAACCTAACACTACCACCTTCTAATTACATACTATCCAAAATATGAGAAACTAACACTACCACCTTCTAATTGGTACCACCTTGAATCTTGTATTTGATTCAAGTTGGAACAGTGTTAGCATAAGTAGTTGTTGAGGCTTGGCTTGGTTGACTTAAAGGTTCTTGCTGGTGACTCTACTGAGTCTGCTGACTTTGTTGCTCCTGCTGTTGTTGTTGTTGCTGTTGCTTCCGCTGTGCTTTCTGCTGCTGCTCCTTCCTGTATTGCTCTTGAGGGAATGTCCTGTTCCCAATGCTGTTA